AAGACCCTGATGCTGGGAAACATTGAGGGCAGGAGGAGAAGGGGACAAGAGAGGATGAGATGTCTGGATGGCATCACTGACTCAATGGACATGAGTTTGGGTACACTCCAGAGTTGGTGATGAACAGGGAGGCCCGGCGTGCTGAAATCCATGGGGTCACAAACGTCTGAGCAACTGAACTGAACTGAACTGAAGGGACTGGATGCCATGATCTTAGTTTTCTGAATGTTTAGTTTTAAGCCAGCTTTTTTACTCTCCTCTTTCACTTTCATCAAGAGGCTCTTTAGTTCCTCTTCACTTTCTGCCTTAAGAGTGGTATCATCTGCATGTCTGAGGTTATTGATATTTCTCTGGTAATCTTGATTCCAGCTTGTGCTTCATCCAGCCCAGCATTTTGCATGATGCACTCTGCATATAAGTTAAATAAGCAGGGTGACAATATACAGCCTTGACATGCTCCTTCCCAATTTGGAACCAGTACATTGTTCCATGTCCGGTTCGAACTGTTGCTTCTTGACCTACATACAGGTTTCTCAGGAGGCAAGTAAGGTGGTCTGGTATTCCCATCTCTTTAAGAATTTTCCACAGTTTGTTGTGCTCCATGCAGTCAAAGGCTTTAGCGTAGTTAATGAAGCAGAAGTAGATGTTTTTTCTGGAATTCTCTTGCTTTTTCTCTGACCCAACAGATGTTGGCAATTTGATCTCTGGTTCCTCTGCTTTTTCTAAGTCCAGCCTTGAACCTCTGGGAGTATAAATAACATTCCAGGGATGCAGTAAGATGACAGATGTACAGACCATAAGAAACACTCCACAGGTAAGAATTCTCATTACTGTTAGGATAAATTGGCTCAGAGTTCTTTGAACAGTGTTGGTAAACTGATGACAGGTACTGGAGGGACCCTGAAGTAAGGTTAGAGGAGTCAGCATGGGAGCATTAAGAAGGGAGCATACTATACTATGACCACAGAAAGGAAGACCCTAGGCTTGTAATCAAGGGGTCTGATGTGCAATTCTGGCTTTACATTGACTCATTGAGTGGCATTGGTCAAGTCAGCCCATCCTTCCGGGTTTCAGTTGAGATTAGTTTCATCTCTGGTTGGGGCTGGGAGAACCCAGTGAGATGCATAAATGACCCTGTTGGAGAGGTAGGATGAGCTCCATCACAGTGAGCTCCTGCTGTGACAACTGCACTCAAAGACAGACAGACAGGTGGTCCTCACTCCTTCCTAAGCTTTCTGACAGTGCAGACACCATATGGTACGGATGGCCCACCATTACTCATTACAGAGCAATGAGAGGAAATGCAGATGATGCAGTTTGAGTTGCACTCTTCCTTCTCATAAACAGGTTCTTTGCAGGAAACTCTCCTCTTAATATGGGATGAACAAGATGGAAGTCTAGATGCTGGCTCTGTAAGAGTCCTCCAAATGAAGTTTATAGCTCTTTAAAGTGTGTGTTCCACATCCCGTCCACTTCCCCTGATCAACTGTGCAGGTGGAGACCAGACTCTCATCCCTCCAGCCATCCAGCTCCTCCACGCCTGTCTGTGTTCCTTCCCTGTGACTCTCGCCTGTGCCAGGCAAGCTTAGAATCTGACCTCTAGGGTCATTGCAGTTGGTAGTCAAAGAAGACGCAATCTGAGGACTCTTCCCTACAGGATTTTTTTTTTAATTTTTCATTTTGTATTGACGTGTAGCCTATTAACAATGTTGTAGTAGTTTCAGATGAACAGCGCTGGGACTCAGCCATACATACATGTATCCATTCACCCCCAGTCTCCCTTCCCATCCAACCTGGCACATAACATTGAGTAGAGTTCCATGTGCTATACAGTAGGGCCTTGTTGATTATCCATTTTGAATATAGTAGTGTGCACATGACCTTCCCAAACTCCCTAACTATCCCTTCCCTCTGGCAACCATAAGTTCATTTTCTAAGTCTGCCCCACAGGATGTTTTTAATTTCAACTTGGGTTCTAGTTTGTAAAACTTGCCAGCTCATTGGCCCTCAGTCTTCTCCCTGCATGTATCAGTCAAAATTCCCTCAGTGCATCTTTTTCAATCATTGACTCTTCTAAACCCAAATTAACCTGTGGGCTCTGAGCATTGATAGAAATGGCTGTACGTAAAAATGTCTTTACAGGATGGCTTTTGTCATATCTATGAAGAGCTGGTGTTTATTGAACTTCTGCTTCACATCAGGCAATCTTTGGGGTTCCAGAAGATACAACTTCATAGAAAAGGCAGCCCATCTTTCAGGCTCTTGGTTTATCTGTAGGGAGATTAAACATGGACATAAGACAACTTAATTTAAAATACAGGCAGTATGTAGCGAATTCTAGAGGGATGGAAGAAGTGGCAGCTTCAACAAAGATGTGAAAAAATTGGAAATCCATGAGTCAGATCCAGTCTGCAGGGTTTTTTAAAAAGAAATTCAAACAAACAAAAAAATAGTCCTTACATCATTCTCTATTTTATCTTGAAAAGCCCAGAGATTTAGCAAAATGCACCAGCCTTGGAGCATTTTACTAGCAGAACAGTCACCCCCTTTTAGATGGGGTGGGATTTGCCAGGTCTCACAGCCCCACTCCCCCAGCCCATAGTGTTTTCATCTGTAACTCAGCCATCTTCCCTCATTCACCTTACCTGCCTGACTCCTGTGGATATTCTCAGTTCAAGAAGCTGCTGCTGAAACTTCTGGCTCAAAAGACAGATTACTCACTGTGGCTGATTACTCACTGTGGCTGAGTCAGATCTCATGAACCCATGGAGTTTCTATGGTTATGAAGTCCAGGTAGGATTGGGGTAGACAGGAGAGGACTTCCGAAAGAGTGTGATCAGAGGCCTAGGAGGGGAGTATACCCCCAAGAGGCGGCCACCAGACCACCTGGCTGAGCTGAAGGACCACATGCAGAGTGGTGGGAATCAATAGGGGAAATGCAAACTGGGAAAGAATTTAGATGACAGACTGAAATGATTGTGTTCACAGTGAAGATCTGAAGAGCTTTTAGTCTCAAGAATACCTTGAGGGAAATGGTGTCTTAGAAGGATGTAGGGGTGATATACATATGAAGGGTTCAAACTAAATGAGGTGAAAGGCAGTCACCTCACTTTTTTTTTTCCCAAATATTTTTATTAGTTGGAAGCTAATTACTTTACAATATTGCAGTGGTTTTTGCCATACATTGACATGAATCAGCCATGGATTTACATGGGTTCCCCATCCTGAAGCCCCCTCCCACCTCCCTCCCTATCCCATCCCTCTGGGTCTTCCCAGTGCACCAGCCCCGAGCACTTGTCTCATGCTTCCAATCTGGACTGGCGATCTGTTTCACACTTGATAATATACATGTTTCGATGCTGTTCGCTCAGATCATCTCACCCTCACCTTCTCCCACAGAGTCCAAAAGTCTGTTCTATACATCTGTCTCTCTTTTTCTGTCTTGCATATAGGGTTATCGTTACCATCTTTCTAAATTGCATATATATGCGTTAGTATACTGTATTGGTGTTTATCTTTCTGGCTTACTTCACTCTGTATAATGGGCTCCAGTTTCATCCATCTCATTAGAACTGATTCAAATGCATTCTTTTTAATGGCTGAGTAATATTCCATGGTGTATATGAACCACAGCTTCCTTATCCATTCGTCTGCTGATGGGCATCTAGGTTGCTTCCATGTCCTGGCTATTATAAACGGTGCTGCGATGAACATTGGGGTGCACGTGTCTCTTTCAGATCTGGTTTCCTCAGTGTGTATGCCCAGGAGTGGGATTGCTGGGTCATATGGCAGTTCTATTTCCAGTTTTTTAAGGAATCTCCACACTGTTCTCTATAGTGACTGCACTAGTTTGCATTCCTACCAACAGTGTAAGAGGGTTCCCTTTTCTCCACACCCTCTCCAGCAGTTATTGCTTGTAGACTTTTGGATAGCAGCTATCCTGACTGGCGTGTAATGGTACCTCATTGAGGTTTTGATTTGCATCTCTCTGATAATGGGTGATGTTGAGCATCTTTTCATGTGTTTGTTAGCCATCTGTATGTCTTCTTTGGAGAAATGTCTGTTTAGTTCTTTGGCCCATTTTTTGATTGGGTCATTTATTTTTCTGGAGTTGAGCTGGAGGAGTTGCTTGTATATTTTTGAGATTAATCCTTTGTCTGTTTCTTCATTTGCTATTATTTTCTCCCATTCTGAAGGCTGTCTTTTCACCTTGCTTATAGTTTCCTTTGTTGTGCAAAACTTTTAAGTTTAATTAGGTCCCATTTGTTTATTTTTGCTTTTATTTCTAATATTCTGGGAGGTGGGTCATAGAGGATCCTGCTGTGATTTATGTCAGAGTGTTTTGCCTATGTTCTCCTCTAGGAGTTTTATAGTTTCTGGTCTTATATTTAGATCTTTAATCCATTTTGAGTTTATTTTTGTGTATCGTAGTCACCTCACTTTAAAGGCTGAAATGGAAATCCAGAGGGCTTCCTGGGGGGCTCTGTGATAAAGAATCCGCCTACAATGTAGGAGATGTGGGTTCTATCCCTGGGTTGGAAAGATCCCCTGGAGGAGGGCATGGCAACCCACTCCAGTATTCTTCCCTGGAAAATCCCATGGACAGAGAAGCCTGGCGAGCTGCAGTCCATGGGGTTGCAAGAGTCAGACATGACTAAAGCCACTGAGCATGCGTGCATACACGCATGTGGAAACCCAGGCTGGAGGGCTAGAGGGTCTGAGCCTGGCCGGAAGCATCAGGAATGAGGGGTAAGTGGTGGGAAGATGCTGTGGGGGCAGAACCTCCAGAGCCTATATAACTGATGACACGTGGGCTTGAGGGAAGGGAAGGAACCAAATCAGACTCTGCAGTGAGCAGGCCCAGGGGAGGGGAGACGTGCTGGGTGCAGGATGCAGGGAGGACTGTATCAGCCTTTCCCAGGCATGAGAGAATCTGCTGCAGTGGGCCTTCCTCCCCAGTCCCTTCAGGAAAGACTCTGACCCTAGCCTTTCTCTCCCAGGAAAAAGACGTGACTCCAGATAAAAATCTCCTGTCCAAGGTGCAAGACGCAGCTCTGTGGCTGGAGACCCTGTCAGACGGCAGACCCCCCAAGCCTTCCCTTGCCACTGCCTCCTCCATTGCTGACTTCTTCCTTGCCTTAACCATCTGCAACTCCGTCATGGTCTCCACGACTGCCGAGCCCCGGCAGAGGGTAAGGACCGGTGATGGTGTGGGTGGGATGGATGGGAGAAGCACAGGCGTGAAGGGGTGCCCTGCACAAGAGCACAGAACACTTGGGTCCTGATCACACTGTCACTGTGTCATCACTGTGAGACCTTGAACAAAGCTCCTGTCCTCTCTGGGCCTCAATCTCCTTATGTTTTAAATACAATATAAGAAGTTCCATAAGAGTTTTCTGTGTAGGTTTCACATTTTGTGTCTGTCTGCAGGGTAGACATTAAAAGGTAATATTTACTGAGCACTTGCTATGTGCAGGCCTCTATGCCAAACGTCACCTGCACTATCATTTAATCTTTATGACTCAACAATCCTGTGGGGTATGTCTTTGGATTTAGCAAGTGAAGAAACGGTGGCTCAGAGAACTTGAGTAACTTAATGAAGGACATATGGTGAATAGATGGCAGAACCATCTGTATGATTCTATCATAATATCACGGTATACTGGTATCTGCTTTTTGAGGGGAGGGGGGGTTAAACAAAATGAACACTGTGTGTGAGGTTTTGCTAAGTTAGAGATAACACAGCTGGATGGCCATTTGTAAAAGATTATACTTGGAGTTATTTTTCAGTACTGAAGATAGATTTATTTTGGTTATCCACATACTCTCGCCCAAGCTCTCTTCTAAGTGATGAATAAGAATAACGGGTGTTACAACACTTGGCCACAAAAATCAAGAAAAGGAGAGTTCATCCAGGTACCAAACCAGAGCCCCTATTATTACACCCAGATTCTAAACTACCCTGAAAATTCAGCAAGTAATCAGAGATCTGCAGGGAACTTTGGGAGGCAGGAAGCATTATCCGAGAAGTTCTATGTTCAAGAAAGAGAGAAGTATACCATCCAATTCTCAGTTTTCAAGCTGATGGAAGGCTTCAGCTGGCAGCTAGCTCAGAAGCCCCTGGAGTCAGACAGACCCAGATATGAGAGCCAGCTCTGCCACCTACAAGCTGGGTGATCACAGCCCACTTAATCTCTTTATGCCTTGGTTTCCTCATCCAGAAGTTGGGATAATGATAGGATTTCCTAGCACTGTTGCTGGGAGGATAAAGTGAGATGCTGCATGCAAAAATAAAGCAGGCAAAGTGGTGATAAGGGTTCAGGGAGTGTGAACTGCATCCCTGAGTCTGGCTTTTGTCTCCTTTGCTTTGCTTGGCCCATGGTCAAAGTGGGATGTCACCGCCAATCCCTAGGAAGTCAGGGCTGGAAGGAAACCAGTGGCCTAACCCTCTCACGTTATAGTTGGGTAAACTGAGGCTCACAGAAGGGAGAAGGCTTGCCCACCATCATTTAAGTGGATGACTGCAAAATGAGCTTCATATTCTGCCATAAGGGAGCTCGATAGTTTTCCCAACCTGGAGAGTCATGTTCTCCTTTCCTCTTTTGCCTCAAGGTCACCATGCCACCCTCGACCAAGGCTCTGGGGACATCCCTGGAGAAGATCCAGCAGCTCTTCCACAGGTTGAAGCTTTCAAGCCTCAGTCAGTCCTTCTCATCCACTGCACCCTCCGACATGGACCTAGGGGAGAGCTTGGGGGCCAACATCCCCACCACGGACTCAGAAGAGAGAGATGACGGGTCAGCGTGCAGCGGTGGCTATTCCACTGACGGCGGCTACAAGAGCAGCACGTGGGAGCAGGGCGACGTCCTGGGGGCAGGGCCAGGGGCCTCCCTGGAGGAGGTGCTGCAGGCCCCAGCCCTCAGTCTGGCTGGTCCCGAGCTCTGTTATGAGGCTGAGAGCCCTGATGAGGCCGCCCTAGTGCATGCTGCCCGTGCCTACAGCTTCACACTGGAGTCCCGGACACCCGAGCAAGTGACCGTGCGCTTGCCCCAGGGCACCTGCCTCACCTTCGATGTCCTCTGTACCCTGGAGTTTGACTCTGTCAGGAAGAGGATGTCTGTGGTCGTGAGGCACCCGCTGACCGGTGAGATCATCGTCTACACCAAGGGCGCCGACTGCGTTATCATGGACCTGCTGGAAGACCCAGCCTGCGGTGAGTCCATCTCATCAGGGTCCAAGAAGAGAGGGTTCTGGTGTTTAACTGGTGGCGTGGAATGGTAACTGGGGGGCTTGAGTTATGGTGTCACTCAGTCCAGCAGGTCCCAGGTGGAACACAAGCCCTCGAGATGTTTTCCTCATAGCATCTTCCTTAACACACACTGCTCTCCACATCTCCATGACCTGGAAAATTACAGAGCTTATTAAAGACATTGGGCAGCCTTGTCACAGAGGAACCTCTTTATTTATCCCAGTTTTTACTTTTCCAAACTCATTTAAACATGGATGCTCCATACACAAATCCCCCACCTCACCAGGACATCCATCAATATACCCTAGAAAATACTGTGGTCCTAACTCTTAGTTTTGGGGAGAAGCCCACTGAACCTGAAGGAGGGAAGTGGCATAAAAAAAGATGCTCAGCTAACTAGTTGTGAATCCTAGTGGGGGTGTCCTGAATCCTGGTTCAGAGCTTTTGTCACGCCACCAGAATTCTGCACTGAGCTCGATTTGCTCTGGGAAACCTCAGGGGATGCTCTTTATCATTCCTTTCCCCAGCCTCCCCAACATGGATTTTCATTAACTTGCTCCAAGCCAGAAAAATGTTCCAAAGTCCCTACATTATCAGTGTCAAATTTTGGAGCAGCATGAATTAGTGTGTAGCCGCTTCCTGATTGCTAACAAGGAAAAGACAGTTATGGGGCTATGATTCTCCCAGGACAGGAGATTCCAGCCAAGCTTCAGAATTGCCCAGGCAGCCCTGTGCCTCCTGCATTGTCAGCTATGGATCAGAGCCAAGAGGTTCATGGGGATTGATGAGCGTTTAGAATGAGAAGGGAGCTAATTAAGTGTCTTCATCCCCAGACTCTGGCAGGCAAGTGGATTCGGCATTTCAGAGTCAGGGGAGCCACAGCATTCCATTCCCGCACAACAGCCTTCCACACTGCCCTGGAGATATTTCTTTGTTCCTCACCTGATTCCAAAATGGATGAGAGATTCCTCCAATAAAAGATACATATACGATGTTTCTATGAGATTTGAGAAGCAAAGATTTCAAAATCAGGGGGTAAATAACCTCAGGTTTGGTATATGTACAATGTTTGAACATTCAACTTGACCCTGAGGTTCCTGGTAGCCTGAGCAATAAAGTAAACTCAGAAGTACACAGGTAGAAGGCAAAAGGTGTTTTTAATCTCAGAAGCAGATGTCTTTAAAAATAAAACATCGTAGATAGTGCTCCAAAAGACAAGGCACAAAGATTGTGCTTAAGGCACCTGAAAACAAGTAATATCTGAAAAATAAGGAAATCATCTTTGAAGGGATTTTATACTGTGTAAAAGCAGGCTTAGAGTAGTATCAGGGGAAAAAAAATCAGAGCTTTGTTGGACTTCCTTATACTTGTCTTACTGTAAAGAATTGTAGTTTTAGTTCTCTATTATATGGAGAGATGAACAAGGGGCACAAAGACTGTTTACTGCTTAGGGTTACTAAAGATCTCAAGCCAGCCCTAGTTAAGAAGGATTCTGATGCTTTTTTCAAGCTTAGACTTACAAAATGCTGCCACTGACTAGGGATGTCTATGATATCTCAGATGAAGGAAGTGGTGATGGCATCAATCCTGTCCCGTAACCGCCAGCCCAGGCTGAAAAATTCTTTTTTATCTGATAGATAAAAGTACTGGAATTTCAAATGAAAAAGATAAATTTCTTCTAAGAGAAACATATTATATAGGACTTCAAAAGGGGGACTCTGAGCTACACAATGAAATATTTTTCACGCTCGATTTATAGGAATCCAAAAAATATTTTTTTGAAGCCTAACTCAGCAAACCCAGTATGGTAAGGAACTTAGCAATGAGATTTAGGTCTCTCTTCATCTTGGAAGCAACTTGCCATAAGGACTAAAGTAGATTACAGAGCAGGTAATGGATAGCATTTTTAAGACTTAGCAAACAGCTATTTGGAGCTTCCCAGGTGATGCTAGTAGTAAAGAACCCTTTTGCCAATGCAGGAGACTGGAGTTTGATCCCTGAATCTAGGAAGGTCCCCTGGAGCAGGAAATGGCAACTCACTCCAATATCCTTGCCTAGAGAATTCCATGGACAGAGGAACCTGATGGGCTATAGTTCACAGGGTCCCAAAAAGTCGTACACGACTGAAGCGACTTAGCACACATGTAAACAGCTGGTTATTCAGGGCTAAACTAGTCACAGGGAGGACTTCTTCTTTGATTCAGCAGGCCTTCAACTGGACCTTCAAGTCTCTATTACTTAAGTTCCCAGGTGATTCTGATGCAAACAGGTATTTGAGTTTTCCATGCTTTTTTTTTTCCTGCACAGTATACAGGATCTTAGTTTCCCAACCAGGGATGGAACACAGGCCCCTGAATTGGAAGCACAGAGTCCTAACCACTGAACAGTCAGGGAATTTCCACAAACAAGCATTTGGGAACAATACTTGAAGCCACCTAACTTTCCTAAATAGTACTTCTCTCAGCCAGACTTTTGATGATCAGATATAGAGAGCGGACAGTTTAAGGACCCATGGAGTTACCACTTTGCAGGGCAGCCTGGAAGAGCAGCTTCGTGTTTGTGACAGGGGTATGTGTGTGTGGGTGGGGGTGGTATAAGGGAATTCCTCCTCTAAAGACTCCAGGGTGTTAGAAACGGGGTCTCTAAGCATTTTGTCCATGACCTCATGGGGAACAACGACTATTTGACAGTGACTGACACTAATGTGGAAAAGAAGATGAGGAAAATCCGAGCGCGGACCCAGAGGCATCTAGACTTGTATGCACGAGACGGCCTTCGAACACTGTGTATCGCCAAGAAGGTAAGAATAAATTCTGCATTTAGTGGCTGAAAGGCTTCAACCCTGCTTGTGTCTTTTCTGTTTCTTGTTAGAAGATCCTCAATATTGGTTCTTCTAATATTTTCAAAATTGGCTATCCTGACCACACAGACCCACAACTTTTGACAATCTTGCTGGGACAGAAATCTGAGTGGTAAGGTTCCTTATCAGTGTGGCCTTGTGGTTCCCTGCTTTCATTGTCTATGTAATTGGTAACCTATAACTCATGATTTTTTAATGTTGTAATTTTGCCTTTAAATATCCTCTTACCATTTCCATTATTTGCTAAGATCTAGAAGTTGGGAGATTTTATGTGATCACATACAAATCTAGATTTCTGGTTTCTCTTGAAAATGTAGAGGATCTGGAAAACTGGATTACCTTTCTTGAATAGCTTCAAATACTATAGCCAGGTAGCAGCAGATTCCTGCTGAGGAATATATTCTTCTGTGTTCTGAGGTTGGTCACAGTTCCTACCACTGTCTATCGCATTGCCCTTGGCCCAGCTAGATTCAAGTAGGTTACCTTCCCTGGGCCCTGCAGGTCTTTCCGTTTGCAGCCCCTACAGGAAAGGCAAGCAGAGAGCTCTGAATCCCAGAGCTGGAGTACCTAAAATCAGATAGGCGAGCTACAATGGGCATGCATTTCAAGATGGTTATAAGTGGTTTTTTTTTTTAATTGCGGTATAATTGATTTATAATGTTGTTAGTTTCAGGTGTACAAAGATTCAGTTATACATATATCCACTTTTTTTTTTAGATTCTTTTCAAACTTAATGGTTATCAGGGTGTAATGGGGGAAGGATAAACTAGGAGATTGGGATTGATGTACACACTACTATATATAAAATAGATGACTAATAAGGACCTACTGTCTAGACAGGGAACTCTACTCAGCATTCTGTCATGGCCTACGTGGGAAAAGAGTCTAAAAAAGAATAGGAGTGATTTCTTCTCCAGAAATCCCAGAGCTCTTCATCTCTTTCATGGAGCTTAGCACACCATAAAGTTTAAGAGCACCCACTTTAAAGCCAGGCCTGGGACAAGTCCCAGTCACTTATCAGCGATGTGACCTTGGGCAAGTTTCTCCACCTCTCTGAGCTTTGGGATGTTCTCATGTGTAAAAGGGTGCTACTGTTCCCTACTTCATACAGTTGTCATGGAGATTAACTAAGGTAACAGGTAATGCTGGGACAGTGACCAGCACTTTCTACTCTATAGATTGTAATTAAAACATTACCACTTTCTATATTTTATTGAAATTATCTATTTCTATTTTGCCTCCTCTGATAAGACTGTTCTTCCTCAAAAGTAAAAGACCTACTTGTGTCCCCTTTGTTTTCCCCACAATGCCATGCATGGGTGGGAAATTAAAGAATATTTGATGCTTAGACAAAAGAATCATTTTTTACTGTAAGAGACAGTGTGCATATAATGCCAACAGAGGAGTCTAAAATGCTATAGACTCCAGAAGAGAAACTATATCCGCTGGTGGTGGTTTAGCCTCTAAGTCATGTCTGACTCTTGCGACCCCATGAACTGTAGCCCACCAGGCTCCTCTGTCTATTGGATTTTCCAGGCAGGAATACTAGAGTGAGTGCCATTTCCTTCTCCAAGGATCTTCCCAACCCAGGGATCGAACCCAGGTCTCCTGCACTGTAGGCAGATTCTTTACCAACTGGGCCTCCAGGGAAGCCCCCTGTGTCCTCTAGTTGGATTTTTTCAGCCATTTGACACCTCCAGGAGCTAGTGGAATAGTCTATCAGGCTACACAAGACCTGTCTACTACTTACTTTTCCAGCCCAGCTGCATCGCTGGTCCTGTCCATCTGGCTGTCCATCCTTAAGCCAACTGCTGTGTTCAGGGAACAGAAAGAAATCCAAGTTCACTGCTGTTTCATGGCCTTTGAACTTGCCTCTCCCCATGACTGAACACTTCTCATCATTGGATTTCAGCCTGTACATCACCTTGTTTAAGGGTCCTGGCAATCCAAACAAAAATAACCCCTCTTCCCACAGCTATCCCCCTACCCAGTCACATGCTGTTTGTCTTCTGTATAGAAGTCCTTGGGATGGTCCATTCTTTTAAATTATTCACTTAGATAACGTCTCTCACCCTCTACTAACACATCAGCCCAGGTCTGTAGGGCTCTTGTCTTTCTTGATCACTACTATATCTACAATACCCAGAGCATCACAGGGGTCAACAGACGTTTGATGATAATGAAACATGAAGATCAATCCTTCATCAATTCAAGAATCTAAAAAAAAAAAAATCATTGCGGGGAAATCCCCGTCTAAGTGTATAGTGAAGCTTAAGTTGGCCTGTAGGAGGTCCAGCACGTGGGCAGGGGAAGGAGACACCCAGAGTTGTGAACGAGCCTCTTCCCATCTCACAGGTCTTAAGTGAAGAGGACTTCAGGCGATGGGCCAATTTCCGGCGTGAGGCTGAGGCATCCCTCAACAACAGAGATGAGCTTCTCATGGAGACAGCACAGCATCTGGAGAATCAACTCACCTTACTCGGTAGCTAAAAATAAGCTTATTGTTACATTTTTTACAATGAATGCTGCAAGCGAGAAAGGGTGTTCGTGGCCTTGATTCTGACACTATTACAAATGTGTCTCAATCAGGAGCCTCCCTGGGGCGCCCTTCCAAGCATTTGGTGCCAGTGAGCTGTGCTGACATCCTACCAGACTCCACACCCTGCTTCCCGAGGATGCCCAGGAGCATTCCTGCCCTCCCTGCTGGAGGAAGCCTCCTTGCTTCTCCTCCAGTCATTCAAATGTTTATTGATCACCTACTATGTGCCAAGCAGCATGCTCGGTATTGTGGCTTCAATAGGGAACAAGAGCCACAGACCCTGCCCTTGATGATTAAATAAGTAATTTCATCAGAGTGTGATGAGAGTGGGGCTAGGAGATGTAGCTGGTGGGATGAAGCACAAAGGTGCCAAGGAGGGAACAGGAGGGCTTGAGCTGATTGGAGAAAGGGAGCTCATCACAGGGGGAGGTGTTCCACGAGAGGGAAGGGCCTGAATGCAGGTCTGGAGGTGAGAAAGCCTGGGCTAGCCGGAGACTTAGAGGTCTGCCTTGGCTGGACCACGGAGTGCGAGGGAGACCCATGAGGTAAGAGAGGTCAGGAGGATATAGATTATGAAGGGCCATGTAAATCATATGCTAAAGGTTTGGAGAAGGGGAGTTAAAGCAGGGACAGATTTATGTTTTATAAAAATCACTCTGACTGCTGCTGTATAGAAATTAGATGGCTACCCTGGGGGAAAGATGGAAAGCACCAGTGAAGAGACAGCGATGGATTTCTGTTGAAGGAAAAGCGTTGCCAAGGGAGAAGGGGGAGGCTTTCTTTTTCAGATTCGTCAGCTCAGAGCTTGGGAACAAGATCTAGGAAAGGCGATGCCTGCGTAGCATGCACATGCTGGCCATGTGGCCATGTGGCAGAGCCTCCTTTGGGAGGCAGTGCTGACCCGGGATGAAAGCCACATCTTGGCCCTGTGTGCCCAGGGACACTTCCCCACACCTCTGAGCCTCTCTGTCTCCTCTGGATAAATCACACTCCACCTAACTCAGCCAGGCCGGGGTGAAGGGGGAGACCTAGGGTGTTGTTGTAAGAAGACGGTAAAATCTCTTTATATTTAAAATGTGAGAACAGCATCGAAACACGTATATTATCTAGGGTGAAACAGATCACCAGCCCAGGTTGGGTGCATGAGACAAGTGCTCGGGCCTGGTGCACTGGGAAGACCCAGAGGGATCGGATGGAGAGGGAGGTGGGAGGGGGGACCGGGATGGGGAATACATGTAAATCCATGGCTGATTCATGTCAATGTATGACAAAAACCACTGCAATGATGTAAAGTAATTAGCCTCCAACTAATAAAAATAAATGAAAAAAAAAATAAGTAAATAAAATGTAGCAGCAAGATGTAGTGGGATGAGTGGCGAGCCAGGGGAGGCAGTTTTTCACCCCACCTCCTTCAGCCTTTTGTTTCCTGCATGTGGACTGCACAGGCCTTTGTCTGCTGTCTCACAAGGCTCCCTGGAAAGCTGGCCTGGAGAACTCACTCTAACAGGAACCAGGGGGTAGCTAGTGCAGACAGCTCCATCCAGCACACCAGGCCACCACCAGAATGTCATCCCATTAGGGCCCCTGACTCCTGCACACCTTTCCTCTTGTTCCAGGGGAGCCTTCTGGCCCTCGCTGGTGAGAAGCGCCCCTGAGCCGTTTCGGCATTTGTTAGGACCTGTCAGCTTCCCTGGCTGAGAAAGGCTCTCAACCCCTGTTTCATGTTCTCTCACACACCACTAAATGTGTTTTTCCTCCTCTCTCCTTCACTCTTCCTCCCTTTAATACACATCCGCTTCAGTCTCTCACCTTCCAGGTTAATGCTTGGAGGAAAAGATGAGGGTCAGGCATCATTTTTCATGGAACTGTTCTCCAGTGCACTTGGGCCTGAAATACAAAATGGGCCCATTTCAGGATGCAGAGGTTTATTTTTCTTCCCTCACAGTGGCTTAGGATAGAGCAGACTGGGGCCGGGAAGAGAATTCATCCTGCCACCAAGAAATTGCCTTGCCATTCAGAAGCTGCATTGCATTCACACCGGGTCTCCCAGTACAAAATGATCTTTTCAATATGCATCCAGTGTGACTGCTTTGCCAACATATTGTCACTCGGGATTATTAAAAGAAACGGCATGCTTCACTCCTGCCCAGAGTGAAATGGACAGCCATTAGTCTGTGGTCTGAAACGAATCTCAATTAAAATGCAGATTTATTTTTGCTTAATCACTTGGCAACCATTGGATGTTTGGGTATATATTCATCAAGGTTGGCTCAGAGCTTGAGACCATTCAAAAAATGATGGAATTCACATCTTTAATTCCCTCTAAGAATATTATTTTAAAAACCCAGCTCTATTAATTCTAGGGTGAGCACTTGCAGAGGAAAGACTAGTGTCCCCATGTCTTCCACTCCTCTTGCTGCTATGCCAGTCCAACCACACCAGCTTTCCTCTGACTCTTAGCCTTGAACCTCATCCTGCTTCCTCTGCCCTCCAATCCAGTCTCCAGAATGATCTTAAAATTCAAAACTGTCCATCACTCTCCAACTTAACTCCCTTTAATTTGCTACCAAGTAAATGCCAAATCCCTTCACACCCTGACGGGCTCTGCATGACCCAGCACCTCCCCTCCCTGCCTCATCTCTCACCCAGCTCTGCCTCCTTTTCTGTGTCATCTTCTACTCTGACCTCTAGACCTTCACTCATGCTGCTCTCTCTGCCTGGAATTCTCCTTCTTCCCCACCTCTAGGGTTTATCTTCCAGCTCTGAGATTGAACGGCACTTCCAACTTTCCTGGTGGCTCAGACAGTAAAGAATCTGCCTGCAATGCAGGAGAATCTGGGTCAGGAAGATCCTTTGGAGAACAGAATGGCCACCCACTCCAATATTCTTGCCTGGAGAATCCCATGGACAGAGGAGACTGGTGGGCTGCAGTCCATGGGGTCGCAAAGAGTCGGACACAACAGAAAGACTGACACTTTCACTTGTTTTTCTTCCTCAGCAAGGCCTTCCCTGACCTTCTAGATGAAGTTCAAGTCTCTGGGTATATGGTTGCCCGGCACGCTGGGCTTCTCTCCTCCCATCATTCGGTTATAAATCCTTATTCAACAGGCCTTTGAGCGCAGAGAGGATGCAGACCAGCTGTGTCTCTGTTACTGCTGTATCCTGGGTGCTTAGCACAGCCTAGAACATGGAGATAATCAATAATCACTGCCTGGTTTGACAGGGCTTTGGGGAGATTAAGCAGCTCCTTTTTCCAACATAAATGTGAGCTATGCTGTCTTTGCTCACTCCAGGAGCCACTGGGATTGAAGACCGGCTGCAGGAAGGTGTTCCAGACACCATCACTGCTCTGCGGGAGGCTGGGATCCATCTCTGGGTCTTGACTGGAGATAAGCAGGAGACTGCGGTCAACATCGCCTATGCCTGCAGACTCTTAGACCAGACAGACACCGTTTACTCCATTAACACAGAAAGTCAGGTGAGACCAAAGTAGACCCCAGATGTCCAAGTGCAGAGTGGCACCTAGGCCAACAGGAGACAGGATTACGGGTACCCAGGGGCAGCACCACCCCAAATCTTGGCCCTCACGCAGTCCTGGTCCTCTGCTTCATCCCCACACATGGTTGACTGGTCTATTTATATTACATCTAACAAAACAGTAGCAAAGTGTGGCTCTCTCGAATCCCGCCCTTCGCCCAGTCTCCCCATTTTCTATATGAGAAACTGAGGACTACAGAGTTGCTGAGTCATCTCCCCAGGGCCACCTTGTTTCTGATAGACAGACTAAGTCTAGAATGCCCATCTCTGGTCAGGCCAGTGCTATTTGCATTATTCCAGACTGTCTGCTCACAGAATCTCAGTTGTTAGTTTCTTATACTTTGGATTAACTCATCCACTGAAAAACCGTAACTAAATTGACATGGTTCTGAGTTTAAAATTTCAGCTCCAATTTGTAGTATCAAACTGGTTGCCACAGGATGAAATCTGAAGAGAGCAGTACACAAGACCAGTATGCCTTGATGCAATGGGAGAGAGAGATAAGCCAAGTTCAAAAACTGCAATTTTCAGCCTTAATAGGTTGTGAGTGGCTGAGAACAATGTTTGGAGAAAGAGGGCTATATAAAGTCTAAAGAAGTGTATTTAAAGTTGCAGTGGTTTTTCTGTTTAGGAGGAAAAAAACCTATGTTCATGATGCAAACTGAAGAAAGTGAAATTTCACTAGCTCCTTGGCTAATGAATATGGGAAGTAGGTGTTGAGTCAGTTGCCCCTATCAAAGGGAGCAGTATTGGATGAGATGTGGAGTTGGAACAAGAAAGACACTGGCTTGTGGGAGTGGTGGGTGGAGGGCACTGGAGACCTAGAACATTCCAGGGGGAGAAGGGTGGAGAGAGGGAGGAAGATGAGAGATGGGAAGAACAGCACAGAGAGAGAGGCAGGAAGGATGATGGAATCTCACTCCTTTGCTTTTGCCTGAGGCTGATCTGGACCCAAAACAGATGGTTACAAGTTTCAGTTTGGTTTTCATTCAATGAAGAATCCATGTATTTTTTTTTTTTTAAAGAAATGGTGTATCCTAATAAGAAATGCCAGAGACCCTAAAGTGAACTAAAGATGAATTAGGAAAATAATTTACTTTGTCAGGTGCAGACTATGCTACGATTAGATGAAACCCCAGTGAATTTTCAAGATGAAAATAATCTCGGGGAAATCTTGGCATTAATATTATGCTTAAGAAAGAAAGTAATTTGCATCTCGCTTGAGTGCTTGATCCCTGTAACAATGTGGATGTCTGCCTGCCCAGCTTGCAATGGCAATTCCATTTGCAATGATCATTTCACTTCCAGGAGGAGGACATCAACAAGCCTATGAGTCCTCCTGAGGAGGGTGGAGTGGTTTTCTGTGGATTCTGTTAAATGCAATGCCTTCTTGTAAGAAGCTGAGGATGTTTGTTGATTCATTAGCCGAATTTCCCAAGAAACAGCAGGTCACACCCAAGTTGAACTCAATCACTATCAACCATTTTAAAGATGTCCATGACCCTCCAAGATGGTACCTAAATGTTGAGCACTGCCCACACCCCTGGGCCCACTAAGCCTGAAAGATTAGGCTTTCTCATCCTGTTGAGAAAGTAGTGGGTACAGAGATAGCAAAGAGTCGGTATCACTAACTCAAAGGACATGAGTTTGAGCAAACTCCAGGAGATAGCGAAAGACAGGAAAGCCTGGCATGCTGCAGTCCCTGTGGTCGCAAAGAGTTAGACACGACTTGTGACTGAACAACAACAACAGAGATATGTTAAGACAGAAATGGGGGAAATCCATTCTAAATCTGACTTATTTAAATCCCAGTTTAGTGTACTTAAATATTCAGTAGGTATTTTTTCCAATGGTTTTAATCTGTTTGATTCTATATACATTGATTAAGGACTATTGTTTCTTTGTTATGTATCTTAAAGCTATAAGCAAGTTATAAGGCCTTTCTAAACTTCAGGGTCAGTCAGTTCAGTCGCTCAGTCGTGTTCAACTCTTTGCGACCCCACGAATCGCATCACGCCAGGCCTCCCTGTCCATTACAAACTCCCGGAGTTTACTCAAACTCATGCCCATCAAGTTGGTGATGCCATCCAGCCATCTCATCCTCTGTCGTCCCCTTCTCCTCCTGCCCCCAATCCCTCCAAGCATCAGGGTCTTTTCCAATGAGTCAATTCTTTGCATGAGGTGGCCAAAGTATTGGAGTTTCAGCTTCAGCATCAGTCCTTCCAGTGAACACCCAGTACTTATCTCCTTCAGGATAGATTGGTTGGATCTCCTTGCAGTCCAAGGGACTCTCAAGAGTCTTCTCCAACACCACAGTTCAAAAGCATAAATTTTTCGGCGCTCAGCTTTCTTCACAGTCCAACTCTCACATCCATACGTGACCACTGGAAAAACTATAGCCTTGACCAGACGAACCTTTGTTGGCAAACTTCAGGGTTCTCATCCATAAAATGAGAGAATTACCAACCCATCACTGGAAGTGTTGATCTGTCAAGGAATTTTAGAAGGGACTAGATAGTATTAGATGTTGTTGCTTAGTCGCTCAGGTGCATCCAACTCTTTTGTGACCCCCATGGGCTGTAGCCCACCAGGATCCTCTGTCCATGGAATTCTCCAGGCAAGAATAATTGAGTGGTTGCCATTCCCTTCTCCAGGGGATCTTCTCGACCCAGGAATCAAACTTGTGTCTCCTGCATTGGCAGGCAGATTCTTCACCACCGAGCCACCAGAGGAACCCATAGGGTTAGATAGGAACTAGTAATAGCAACTATTATTATTATAACTAACAACATATATTGAAGACTTATTATGGTCCAGATACCATACTTCACCAAACTTCAGTCTTCTCATCTGTAAGATGGGGAATTAAAAAGTTTTATTTCAGAGGCTATTGGGAGGATTAAATAAGATCATAGAAGAAATATAGTTATTAACACAGGATTTCTGTGAGTTAACAAATTACCCCTAAACTTAGTAGCTAAAAACAGTAGATACTTATTATCCCACAGTGTTTATGGGTTAGGAGTCTAGGAGCGCTTACCTGGGTACCTCTGGTTCAGGGTCTCTCTTGAGGTTGCAGTCAGGGATGTGAGCTCATCTAAAGGCTCAATGGGATGGGTCATTTAGGGACAGGGAGTCCTCCTCCTTCCAAGTTCATGGACATGACTGAGTAGGCTTCAGTTCCTCTCCATGGGAGCCTCTCCATAGAGATGCTTCACAACATGGCAGCTGGTTCCCCCAGGGTAAGCCATTCAAGAGAGAGAATGGGAAAGAGTGCCAAAGTGTAGCCACAGTCTTTTGATAGACTGACCTGGGAAGTGACATCCCATCACTTGTGCAAAATTTGCTTCATTAGAAAGGAAATATTAGTCATAATGACAATCAAGGGTTGGAGATTACACAAAGAAGGACCTGACTATCAGAAGGTATAGGGATCATTGAGAACCATCTTAGAGGCTGCCTGTCACCATACCTGATAGGTACTAAATGTTAAGTGAATGGTAACAATTGTGATTATTATATAGACAATTTGAAGGAAGTACATTCAGAGATTTTATTTTGAAGCTTCTATTTCCAATGACTTGCTGCAGTCATATGTTGGAGGAATTTATAGGCATACCTCATTTTATTGCACTTCACAAATACTGTGTTTTTTACAAACTGAAGTTTCATGGAATTGAGAAAGTCTGTTAATGCCTTCTTTCCAAAAGCATTTGGTCACTTTGGGTCTCTGTGTCACATTTTAGTAATTCTCACAGTAGTTCAAGCTCTTTCATTATTATTGTATTTGTCATGATGATCTGTGATCGGTGATCTTGCTGTTTTAGGGTGCCACAAACTATGCCCATATAAGATGGTGAACTTAATCAATAAATGTTACGTGTGTTCTGAGTGCTGCACCATCCAACTGTTCCCCATCTCTCTCCCTTTCTTCAAGCCTCCTTCCCTAAGACACAACAGTATTGAAATTAGGCCAGTTAATAACCTTCCAGTGGCCTCCAAGTGTTTAAGTGAGAGGAAAAGTTGTACATCTTTTAAACCAAACCCTAAAAATGATTAAGGTTAGTGAAGAAGGCATGAGGAAAGCCAAGAGAGACCAAAAACTAGGCCTCTTGTGCCAAACAGTTAGCTAAGTTCTGAATGCAAAGGAAAAGTTCTTGAAGGAAATTAAAAGTGCTACACCAGTGAACACACAAATGATAAGAAAGAGAAACAACCTTATCGCTGATAAAGAGAAAGTTTTAGTGATCTGGAGAGATCAAGCCAGCCACAACATTGCCTTAAGCCAAAGCCTAAGCTAGAGCAAGGCTTTAACTTTCTTCAATTCCATGAAGGCTGACAGAGGTAAAAAAGCTGCAGAAGAAAAATCTGAAGCTAGCAGTGGTTGGTTGATGAGGTTTAAGGAAAGAAGTCATCTTCATCATGTAAAAGTACAAGGTGAAGGACTGAGTGCGGATGTAGAAGCTGCAGCAAGTTATCCAGATGATCTGGCCAAGATCATTAATGAACGTGGCTACACTAAAGAACCGGTTTTCAATGTAGACAAAACAGCCGTATATTGGGAAAATGTGCTGTCTAGGACTCTAGTTAGAGAGAACTCAATGCCTGGCTTCAAAGAACAGGCTGACTCTCTTACTGGGGACTAATGCGTCTCCTGACTTTAAGTTGAAGCCAGTGCTCACTTACCATTCGAAAAGTGATAGAATCCTTAAAAATTATGTTAGACCTACCCTACCTGTGCTCCATAAAGGGGATGACAAAGACTAGATGATAGCACATCTGTGGACAACATGGTTTACTGATTATTTTAAGCCTGCTATTGAGATCTACTGCTCAGGGGGAAAAAAAAAAAAAGATTGCTTTCAAAATATTACCACTCATTGACAATGCACCTGGTCACCCAAGAGCTCTGATGGAGATGTACAATGAGATTAATTTTGCTTTCATGCCTGCTGACACAACATGCATTCTGTACATACCTGTACACTTTTTTAGACATAATGTTACTGGATGCTTAATAGACTGCCATATAAACATAGCTTTTATATGGCCTGGGAAACCAAAAAATTCACGTGACTCACTTTATTGCAGTAGCCTAGAACCAAACCCACAATATCGCCAAGGTGTGCCTCTATACAAATTGTGCTAACCCTAGCTTCCAGCAAGGACTGCTTTGCTCTCTTTCCCAGAGAAATGCTTCGGCTGTAATCACCTGCTCCTGACCTACTTCTTGTGGCCCCTCTGGGCTCTATGCATGCCCTATTGCTTGCAGTCTCAGTTTAGCATCCCCTAAAGGAAGGCTCCAGAATAATGAACTGCAGTTCTATTCACTTCAGAAGGAATGATTCCAAATAGTCTTAGCAGCTCCTAGATCAGTGGTCTTCAAACTTGCCGTTTCAGAACAAACTTCACAATTTTTGCCTAAATCCATATACTACCTATACTGTTATTTATTTAATAAGTTCATTTAAATAGACTGAAATTTTTTAGATTTCTTTTTAGAAGAATTTTTCAGCAGTGCAATAAATGAAATATATCTCTTGCCACAGATAAGAGAACACTGCTAAATAAAGACCCTGTGAACAAAACAATGCAATTAAAATTGGTATTCCAGCTGATTTCCACAACTTTTCTCTATCTTTATTTAAAAGTGATGTTTACATAAGTGAAAGAGGTTTTAAGGATATATTTAGATTCATATCTGTCTCTATCTTTGATATATTCAAAAGTAAGAGAAAAATTCATAAGAGGAAATAGCTCCTTCCCCATATTTCAAGATAAACATCAGAAAAAATAAGAAGTTTATTTAAACCAGTAAGACTCATGTTCATGGTGAATTTCAACCAGTGTGACCAATACATTTGTACCAATGATAAAGTACACAATGTATTTTTTCGATTACAAAGCCACAAGTTGAATCATAATGATCAGCCTCCACTACTAAATTGGATGACTTTAGGCAACTTACTAAGGATTTCAGTTTCAATTTCCTCATCTCTAAGCTAAAGTCAGTAATACCCACCCTACCTACCACACAGGTATGTTCTGAGGAACAAAGGAGAAGGGAAATGACTTGTAAGAAATGGAAAGCCCAGTACCAGCCTAACACACTGTCGTCATTTACCATCTCATCAGTATCGTTTATAAACGATATCATCCCTGTATCAGTCCCCATCTTACTGAGCTATCTGCACTCTCATTCCCAAGCTCACTCTCTTTTTGGGCCATTAATGTGGTTCCAAATTATTCTTGCTCTGATGCTGTTTGAAATACTCCAGAGAAATGTCAAAATCAGAGTGATTCCCAGGTCATCTCTATGGTAGTAGTTTTATAACTCTTTTACCAGAGGATGAGGCGAGGCTTTAAACCTATGTTTCCAGTGTTGCTTACTAACACCAAATTGATTATTGTGCTCTTTATACTCTTTATAGGAAACCTGTGACTCCATCCTCAACTTGGCACTGGAAGAGGTAAAGCAATTTCACGGACCTCTGAAGCCAGACCGCAAGCTCTGTGGGTTCTGCCTGCCTTCTGCGACACCACCCCCGACCTCAGGAGCTGCAGCTCCAGATGTTGGGCTGGTCATCGATGGGAAGACACTGAGTGCCATTTTCCAGGGGAAGCTGGAGGAGAAATTTCTGGAGCTGAGCCGGTATTGCCGCTCTGTCCTGTGCTGCCGCGCCACCCCGCTGCAGAAGAGCATGTTGGTCAAGCTGGTGCGGGGCAGGCTGGGAGTCACGACCCTTTCCATAGGTACCCGGCGTGGAGAGGTGCGGGTGGGCGGGCTGGGCAAGGCCACTCTGACATGCCACCTGGACCAGAGCCCGGAGGTCAGGGGTCACAGTCAGGGAGCCCAGGCTGAGGGCATCGTCAAAGTGACAGTCAGGACGTGACAGCCGGCAGAGCAAGCAGAGGCTAAGCAGGGTGGGAGAGCGAACCCGAGTTCTCTGCTAAGGAAATGTCAGCACTTGGATGGAGGCCAAAGCCAAGTTCAGAACATCCAGGTAGATCCGTATACAGTCAGGTTCCCTCAATTCTGGGATGCAGACCGTGTCCCCTTCAATCCTAATACCATGCACCTCAGGCGTCTGTGGACTTGATATTCTGCTGAGTGTTGATGGCTAGTGGGGAGATTTTATAAAGTAATTAGCCTCCAACTAATAAAAATAAATGAAAAAATAAATAAATAAAATAAATAAATACAAGTGGAGCCTGCCCCACATTTAAATGAATGTATATACATTCATTTCTAAATACAAGACTCCACATAAAGCATACCCTCAATAAATGGGGGCTTGTAGGTTGATGAAAAATTCCTTATAGGAGATTAAATTTTAGTCGTGGTTGAAGCAGAGAAATTAAAACTGTCCTTACTTCAAACCTTCCAGAAACATCCAAACCTGGGTAAGAATCTTTTGATCTGGATTCCATTACCCCTCCAGCCACCTTCCTCCCGGCAACATTCAGCGCTGTGTTCCAGCCGTAGGAAGCTGCTTACCATTCTCCAGGATCCCCATTCTCTCTCACCTCCTGGCCTTTGCTCAAACCATGTCCTTTTGTAAAACCTCCTCTAATCAGGCCAATGTTGCTTTACTGTACACTCTGCTGGCTCCACAGCTCTGTTACGACTTGGTGATGGGCTGCCCAGGAGACCAGGAGTTTCTTGAATGGAGGGACAATGTCAGTCTTACTTAATCCCATCATGTACTCAGCGCATACCAAGCATATGGTAAACGTTGCTTTCATTTAGGGACATTCTTATAGATGGCTCAGGTTTTCTTACTCCTACACAGATATGGAAAGAAATTTTCTTTCCTGGCATTTCGAATAAGAGACCTAATTTACATTGTTGTTGGTTTTTTGTTTTTTAGCAGGAGTAGGGGGTTGGTTTTTTATTTTTTCCCTCTTGGTCTTCAGGTAAAAGCAGTTCAAAACCAGAAGGAAAAAAAAAGGAGGGGATTGGCAGAAAGAATACAGGGAGCAAAGTCTTACCAACTGCATCCTAATTTTATTCCCTAAACTGTCCTCTTGAAAGCTGCAGACACATTTAAGGCAATAGCCCAGGATCAACTCCCTGAAGTAAAGGGCTGGCTTCAGTGCCACCACAGCAGAAACAAAACCAGCAGGGCAAAAAATAAGATTCCACACCTCTACTTCCCCGGGCTTGCCAACAGAAGAGGTTAAAGGGTAGATTTGTTCTGCCACAGGGAAGATGAAAACTATGTGCTGCTATGCTACCAAGGAAAAAATCATTAGAAGAGTAACAGCTAGTTACAGTGACAACATTTTTAAGATTAATAAATTTTGTTGCCAGACAATTAGAATATTCTCTCCCCCAATTGCATATTCTTTGTAATCATATATTTCCACATTATTATGAGAACCTACTGGAAAAACAGGTGGGGCCAGGAGAGAAAGGAAGTCATTTCAGTCTACTAATTGTGGCCCTCAGGCTGAATCCAGCCCACTGCATATTTCTGTAGAGATGCTAAGAATGGATTTTGTGTTTTTACTGGTAAAATGTGTAAAAATCTATTTGTCATTCAGAAAGAACAGTTGTTCAATATTGCATCTTGGCCCACAAGGCCTAAAATATTTATTATTTGGCCCTTTACAGAAAAAGTTTGCTTAGCTTTGGTCTGAAGGATAAGGCATTGGAAAAAGTCAGGCTTGTGAAAAAGATCTCACTGTTTATAGAACTGTGCTGTCCAAAATGGTTGCCACCTGCTATATGTGGCTATTTAACATTACACTTCAAATTAAACAGAAATTCACCAGCCACATTTCAGTGTTCATAGGAGGGTAATGGTTTTCAAATTGGAGAGTAAAGAACAGGACATTTCTATCACACAAAAATCCGTTTGACAATGCTGGTATGAAAGGCGGCATGTGTGTATGTATTTGTTGAACAATAAAAGAAAAGTAGGGTTTCTTGTCCAAAGAAGAAAAGACATCTCTTAGGCTAAGTGACTGTAGCAATGGCTTTTCCAGAGGACTATTCAAAGAAACATTAAAAGGATTCAATTTTGTGAAAATGGAGACAATCTAGAGTCACTTATATAAAACTTCTCATTGTCTCACAACAGTTGGACCAGGATCTCATGACTACTCTCCTTTCAGGTGATGGAGCAAATGATGTAAGCATGATTCAAGCTGCTGATATTGGGATTGGAATATCTGGACAGGAAGGCATGCAGGTATCATTTCCTTCAACTCTTCTTGTTACTTTCTTACTCTCCTTTATCCTTATTGGTAAATTAAGGAATTCCCCCTCAGTGCTGGAGGAACTCCTAAAGAGCTTTGCAGAATTATCATCTGAGAGGCAGGGGGCTTCCCTGCCTATGTATAACCTCTATCACCGCATCCCTAAGTGGCCAGTCTTTCAGAATAGGGATCAAAGGATGCTTGGCTTTTTACAGACAGCCAACTATACCTGTATTCTAAAGCCAAATAGTACCCAGCCATTCAGGAAAAACTAAGTTTCCCCCTGATTCCATGTTTCCTTCCTGCAACCCCCGCCAAAACATCAAGGTTACAACACCCGTTGTGAACAACTGGAAAACAATTTTCAATTGCCATTTTAGTTGTGAAGGCTAGATGGACCTACACATTGCTTGTACCAATATTACTTAAAATTCAGCCTGGAACAAGCATACTAACTTGAGCTGCTGTGTTCCCCATTAAGACAGACCCCACTTTGTAGTTCTGAACCATTAACAACTGTGTGTGTTCCCACCACCAGCGCAGACATTAGGTGTTACCTAAATTTGTTGGTGAGGAGGAACGAACACTGTCACTTTTTGAGTGTCTATCATAGGCCAGCACTCTATTTGCACTTCACAATTATCCCAGTTTCAGTAGTCACTACCACCCTGTGTGTTAGGGGTTGTTATTCCACTTTTTTCTGATGAGGAAACTGAGGCTGAGAGAGGTTAAACACCTCGACCAAGACTCTGACTAGGATTTATAACCAGGCATGTCCAAACCTCCTACTCTGAAAAGTAATATGAACTGGGCCTAGTTCTGAGTCATCCCAAGGGCAGAAGACACATTTTGGCTCTGCAGAAAGGGACAGCTATCCAGCCAGCAGCTCCACCTGAGACTGGGGTAGAAGGCCTGTCTCGGGAGGTGGCCAAGGGTATTGAGAGGTTTGAGGATAATTTGCACGGAAGCCCCCAATCTCTGGGCAACCATCACATGCCTAGCATGGTGCTCAACGCACACTGGTTCACAGGAAATGCTTGTTGGATAAGTGAAGGAGGGGAAGAGCCAGACCAGACCCCTTGCCCCTTCCGACCGCCCTTCTTGGACTCTAGTGAGATCCGGATTTCCCAAAGAAGAGGGTGGGGTGTCAGAGTCTAAAAAGTCAGTCAAGGGTGCTGTCTGTGACAAAGGGTCTTTCAGGCCTTACCTACTGCAGACCTCAGAACAGAGCGCACTCTCAGGGGAGCCTCTTTGGTCCATTAGCAGCCGTGGATGGAAGCTGGTATGTCTGCTCTGCCTCTCAGGCTGTCATGTCCAGCGACTTCGCTGTCTCCCGCTTCAGACACCTCAAGAAGCTACTGCTTGTGCATGGCCACTGGTGTTACTCGCGCCTGGCCAGGATGGTGGTATACTACTTCTACAAGAACGTGGTAAGTAGCCCCGCTGCAACCTCCCTCCCGCCCAGCCAGACAAAGCATCTCAGCATAAGGGAACGAGTCAGGCTGACCTGGATTTTGAATCCTGCAACTGTCCCTTACCAGCTCAGTGACCTTGTACTTATGGAGTCGTGTTCGACTCTCTGCAACCCCATGAACTGAGAACTACCAGTCCCCTCCATCCATGGGATTTTCTAGGCAAGAGTACTGGAGTGGCTTGCCATTTCCTTCTCCCGGAGATCTTCCCGACCCAAGGATCGAACCCAGGTCTCCCGCATTGCAGGCAGACACTTTCCCATCTGAGCCACCAGGGAACCTTTGGCAAGACAATTCAGTTCTCTGGGCCTCAATTTTTTCTTTGATAAAATGGGGCTGGTACTATTCAGTGAGGTTATTGCGAAGACTAGCGATGCTGTCTGGAAAGCATGTGGCACATAGGCACTACTGTGAGTAGTTCCAAGCATGGACTCTGGAGTCAGATCAGATTTGATTCAAATAGAGGTTCCTGTATTCGGTAATGGCTTCATACATTCGTTTCCCCGTCCGAAAAATAGGGATGGTGATAGTAGCTTTCTCATATACTTGCTATGAAGATGAAATGACAGCTTGTGTAGAAAGTGATTGGCATGTAGTGATCACCCTCTAAAATTAGCCATTCTTTTTTATCATTGGTACTGCTGTTGTAACTCTCAGAGGGACTCCATAATTGAGCTTTGTTTTCTGACTGCAAGGAGGAAGGATTTGAAGATCAGCTAGTGTGTCTTGTTGCTTAGGTTTCCTCCCCAGATAGAGACAGACGAATGCAAGAGCCCCATTCTGCCTCTTGGGAGAGTGAAAAGTTTAGGACTGGAATCCTGGGCTTCCACCCAAGACCCTACATATCACTTCAGCATTGCCAGCTTTCCCAGCCAGGATTTGTACTTTTCTTAGTGGTCCAGTGATTAAAACTCTGCACTTCCAATGCATAGAACATGGGTTCAATCCCTGATCAAGGAACTGAGATCCCATGTACTGAGAGTACAGCCAAAAATAATTTTTTAAAAAAATATCTATTTGCAAAAATACTTAGAGTACAGTGATCATCTGGGCTTTAGTCTGGCTTGACTCTAATATGCGGTGTGAACTTGAATGAGTTACTTAACTTCTCTGAGCCTTGATTCCCTCATCAATAATACGGGGAGACTAGGACTCTCGCTGTCCTCAGAGAGCATTATCAACAGGCTTTATCATCAGAGCTTTAGGTAGCATGTAGCACGATATAAATAGTCATTATGAGTTTCTCTAAAAAACGTGTATCTCTGTCTTGTTGATAAGGGCCCAAAGCAGGCACACACCAACTGAGGTATTAAAGCTCCCAGAGGTTGTTGTTTGCAAAGCATTTGATTAACAATGGGCACAGGAAGAAGCCAGAGCACTGTCTTACTAAGTGAGGGAACAGGGCCTGTGTTTCCCATTATCCAGCTCAGGGACCTTTAAATAATCCCCAGGAGACTCCAAATAGAATCCTGTTTGCATAAGGAAAAGGGGAGGATTAAGACCAGAGTGATGGAAGGGAAACATTATCAGGCCAATAGGAGTTACAAAATGGCATATATCTGTTCTCCCAGGCCTGCTTTCAGGCACCGTCATAGTTACCCTGACTCAGGAATAAGCATTTCTGTGCAGAGTTCAATGTATATGTAAATAAGCTGCATGACAACTAATAATGTAAATTTGAGAAACTGGATGGCACCATGATTTCAACAAGTCTATGCAAACAAGTCTCTATCTGACTTGAAAGACTGCCTATTTAGAATTTAAAATGCCCCCATTTAATGTTTTTTTCTCCTTGTCTCCAAAAGAATCATTCTTTTGAATAAGCACAACTTCTTTGCATTAAATTTGTGAAATAGAAAAGGAAACGTTTCCACCCAGCCATGCTTTCAAAGCTTAAATGATATTTATTTCCAGCCTGATGCCATGCTCAAAATTTCAATACCAATGCTGTATTATCTCCCCTTTGCAATTAGAGGGTGGAGAACTATGACTTCCACATCCAAAACCAATTTCAGAGGGGATTAAAACCCTGCCTGCTCTGAAATGTGAACGATGAATTAATTATGCACTGTAGCTTTTGGGGAGGAAAAGCAAGCTCCCAATCTCAGCCAAGCCATCTGACATCACAGTTTGGCGCTCTCCCCTCGAGGTGCAGAGATTTCAGCCAGGCAGAGCAGGTAGAACCAAGCAAGGTCCTAACATGACCTAAGGGGAAGGAAACATACTTTCATGTTCAAACTCCAGGTTGGGTGTTAGGACAATAGAACCACCAAGATGTAATTCGTTTATTCAGATAATTATTGAACAACTGCTGTGTCGGGAACAGTATCAGGCATTGGATATGGAGCAGACATCTAGACAGACATGTTCCCTGCTCTCATGAGGTGTATGGTCTAAATCAGGGCTTAGCAAACTTTTTCTACAAAGGGTCTAATCATCAATATTTTCTGCTTTGTGGAAGTACAGCCTCTGTCGCTTTGTCGCACCAACTCAGCTCCACTCTAGCTGCTGTAGACAATATGCAAGTGAACCACTGTGACTGTGTCCCAGTAAAACTTTATTTATGGCTGGACTTGTGCAGAATGGTTTCAATGAATCTTCTCAAATGTGGTTCTTGGATCAGCAGCATTAGCATCATATTGATGCTTGTTAGAAATGGGATTCTTGGGCTGCACTCCAGGCCCACTACCTTGGAATCTGCACATTGTCAGAAAGATCCCTGGGTGATCCGTATGACAAGCACAGACAAGCCTGACAAGCCTTAAGGCCTGACAAGCACTGGGACAGGGGAAAAGAAATGAAAACTTTTAAAACATTTTCTTGGTGCATCTCCCCTAGAGGAAGATCAGGGTACCATGAACATATTGCCAGAAGACTTTGACCTAATCAATCCAGAAGAAAATAGCATTTAAGCTATTGCTTTAAATCTTAAAGACAAGATTCAACTATGAGTTACTCCATTCCCCGACCAAGGAGGAGATGTTTGACAACCTGAGTCCTTACAGGAAATAGTTCAGGAAGTTTACTCATCATTTTATAATGTATGTTATATCTAATTCCAAAACCAAGTGTAAGTGACTTTCAGTAAAAAACACAAGGCAGTAAGGAAGTTATAAAGGAAGTATAAGAGTGTGATCAGGAACCATAAAGGGAGGCGTTTGGTCCCACCTGTAACCTGGGATAAGATGCCAATTATCTTTTTAAACACGTTCAAATTGTTTATTACATTCAACATGCATGAACTACTCTCTCAGATTGCTTATATAAGTTTCTAAAAGCTGGCTCTCAATTTTTTATCATGGACCAGTAACAGACATTCCTGGGCAACACAGGTCCATGAACAGCGCAGTAGTAGCACTGGTGTATTGTGCAGACAGACACGTGTGCTCAGTCGTGTTGGACTCTGTGACCCCCCAGGACTGCAGCCTGCCAGGCTCCTCTATCCGTGGGATTTCCCAGGCAAGAATACTGGAGTGGGCTGCCATTTCCCACTCCAAGGGATCTTCCCAACCAGGGATCGAACCCATGTCTCCTGCACTGGCAGGTGGATACTTTACCACCGAGCTACATGGGTTTACTATACATATGTCTCTAATTGAAAATCCCTGGTGCAGCAGTTAAAATGATGTGGTGGTAAAAGTCCAAGACCAAAGGTCAGAAATCTTGTATTTTTTTTTTATTTTTAGACTTAATACAGCTTCAGTTTTTTATATTAGATTATTTCTTTTTAATTTTTATTTTAGAGTATAGTTGATTTATAATGTTTACGATTTTAAATTATGTTTATAAATGTAAATTTGTCATGTTAGTTTCTGTTGTACAACAGTGATTCAGACATATGCACATATCCTATCTACTCCTTCCCGAATTTTCTAGTATATATAACTGACTATTGAGCAGAGTTCCCTGTGCTATGCAGTAGGTCCTTGTTGATTATGGATTTTATATAGGGTGTAGATGTTAATCCCAAACTACCCCCACATTTCCCCCTTGATAACCTTTCATTTGTTTCCAAAATCCATAGGTCTATTTCTCTTCTGTAAATAAGTTCATTTGTATCATTTTTTTAGGTTCCACATATAAGTGATACTACTATATGATATTTATCTTTCTCTCTGACTTTACTTAGTACGATTATCTCTAGGTCCATGTTGCCACAAATGGTATTATATCATTGTTTTTATGGCTGAGGAAACATTCCATTGTATATACAAAACTCATCTTCTATATCCATTCATCTATTGATGGACATTAAGGTTGCTTCCTTGTCTTGGCTATTGTAAATAGTGCTGCAATGAATATTGAGTGCATGTATCTTTTCAAGTTATTTTCTCTGGATGTATACACAGGAGTTGGATTGCTGGATCATACAGTAAGCTCTTTTTAGTTTTTTAAGGAACCTCCATACTGTTCCCCATAACAATTGTACTTATTTACATTCTCACCAACAGTGTTGGAGGTTCCCTTTTCTTCACACCCTCTCCAGCATTTATTGTTTGTAGACTTTTTGATGATGGCCATTCTGACCACTATGAAATGAAAGTGAAGTTGCTCAGTCACTGCTATAAGATGATACCTTATTATAGTTTTGACTTGCATTTCTTTAATAACTAGTGATGTTGAGCATATTTTCCTGTGCTTTTTGACCATCTGTATGTCTTCTTTGGAGAAATGTCTATTTATATTTGCCAATTTTTTGACTGGGTGGTTTGTTTTTTGATATATATTGAGTTTCATGTATTTGTATATTTTGGAGATTAATCCCCTGTTGGTTGCTTCATTTGCAATATTTTCTTTCAGTTCATAGGTTGTCTTTTCATTTTATGGTTTCCTTTACCATGCAAAAGCCTATAGTTTGATTAGGTCCCAGTTTAGTTTTGCTTTTATTTCTAGTGCCTTGACCTAAGAAAATATTGGTATGATTCATGTCAGAAAATGCTTTGCCTATGTTCTCTTCTAGGAGTTTTATGGTGTAATGTTTTATATTTAAGTCTTTAAACCATTTTGAGTTTATTTTTGTATATGGTATTAGAGAATGTTCTAGTTTCATCCTTTTACATGTAAAAGGATGTCCAATTTTCCCAGCACCACTTATTAGACGGTCTTCTCTCCATTGTATGCTCTTGCAGATTTCTGTCATAGGTTGACCATAGGTGTGTGGGTTTATGTTGAGGTATGTTCCTTCTATACCCACTTTCTGGAGAATTATCATAAATGGATGTTGAATTTTGTCAAAAGCTTTTCTGCATCTATTGAGATGATCATATGGTTTTTATTCTTCGGTTTGTTAATATGCTATAACGCACTGATTAGCAGATCTTGAAAAATCCTTGCATTCCTGGAATAAATCCCAATTGATCATGGTGCACAATCCTTTTAATGTGTTGTTGGATTTGGTTTGCTAGTCTTTTGTTGAGGATTTTTGCATCTATGTTCATCAGTGATACTGGCCTGTAATTTGTGTGGGTGGTATCTTTGTCTGATTTTGGTATCAGAGTGATGGTGGTCTCATAGAATGAGTTTGGGAGTGTTCCAATTGTTTGGAACAGGTTCAGAAGGATAAGTGTTAGCTTTTCTCTAAATGTTTGATAGGATTCGCCTGTGAAGCCATCTTAGGAAACTGTACCTTTCTAAGAATTTGTCCATTTTCTTGGCATATAGTTGCTTATAATAGTCTTCTATGATCCTTTGTGTTTCTGTGGTATCTGTTGTAACGTGTATCCTTTTTCATTTCTAATTTTATTGATTTGAGCCCTCCCTTTTTTTCTTGGGAGTCTGGCTAAAGGTTTATCAATTTTTTTATCTTTGCAAAGAACAAGCTTTTAGTTTCATTGATCTTTTATTGTTTTCATCTCTATTTCAATATTTCTACTCTAATCTTTAAGATTTCTTTCCTTCTACTATCCTTGGATTTTGTTTGTTGTTCTTTCTCTAGTTGCTTTAGACATAAAGTTGGGTTGTTTCTTCATGATTTTTCTTGTTTCTTGAGGTAAGATTGTGTGTGTGTGTTTGTGCTCAGTCGTGTCCAACTCTTTGGGACCCCATTGACTGTGGCCCACCAGGCTCCTCTGTCCATGGGATTTCCCAAGCAAGAATACTGCAGTGGAAATGAATACATTTCCTACTCCCAGGAATCTTACCAGCCCAGGGATTGAACCCACGCCTCCTACATTGGTAGGCAGATTCTTTACCACTGCACCAGCTTAGAAGCCCAAGATAAGATTGTATTGCTATAAACTTCCCTCTTAGAACTGCTTTTGCTACATCCCATAGGATTTGTATCATCGTGTTTTTGTTGTCATTTGTCTCTACGTATGTATTTCCTCTTTGATTTCTTCAGTGATCCACTGGTTGTTTAGCAGCATGTTGTTTAGCCTGAACATCTAGGTCTGGATTCCAGCTTTGCTATTCACTAGTCTGTAACCCTAGCCCCATGGCTTGACCTCTCTGAAGCTCAGTTTCCTCAATTGTAAAATGAGGATAGCAGTGACTGCCTCATGAGGCATGTAAGTGGACTGAATAGGTCAGTACAGAGCCTGGCACCTAGGATGTGCTTTGGGAGTCTCTCTTGTTATTGCTGCCACTGCTATTCTTGGCCTTGTCTGTAGATGGGTCACTTCCAGCCCCAACTGGCCGAGGGACTTAGTCAGTCACCCCGTCTGAGCCATTTAAGCCACCTGTGTGTACATGGAACTAACAGTGGGTGTCTTTCTCAGTCGGCTGGAGAGGGAGAAGCAAGAGAAGGTGCTCAAAGGGCCAAAAAACAAAAGCCAAAGCCTCATGATTGCTAAACACTAGTATCAAGACTTTACCCCTTTGGTTCTTCTTAAAGCCACCCTGTCAAGGGCATAAGTGGTTGATGTTGTTTTGGGAATTCAGAGTCTGCCCAGGAAACAGATTGAGCCCTCTCCTTCCCAAATCTTCTCTGAGAAATAACTTCATCAAAACTCATAGCAGAAAAGCCCTTTCAGCATCATGGGACTAGAGTGGGAAGACGGGACCCCAGCCCTCAGAGAAATGCAAGGTCCAGGGTCTCCTTCCAACCCAAGGATTGAACCCGTCTCTTTCGTCTCCTGCATTGGCAGGTGGATAATTTACCACTGTGCCACCTAATGTGCTGTATACTAATATACTGTTAGCACACACCCATCACAAATAGATGCTCGAATAATAATTGTAGTATTAATAATATAAATGTTAATATTACTAGTAGTAGTCTAACAACAAACAGAGAGCTTCTTAAAAATAACGCTGGCCCAGTAGTTAGAAGATGAGAATGCTAGCTTGAACACAAACCTACTGAATGATTCCTTACATTAAAATCCCTTTACCCCTCTGTGCCTCAGCCATATGGATCAGAGTTCTAGTTCTAATGCCAGGACCAGCTGGTATCGTGACCTTGGTCAAGTCACCAAACCACATCACAATATGTTAGACAATAATTGTGACCCAGCCCTTCTCTAGTGAGGAGATCTTGAGTGAAAAGATCTTTAGAAAGCATAAAGCAACACTTCAGCATAAGATTTTATTCTTCACCCTCTGAGTTGTGAGACCATTGGGAAAGGGTTTTGAGGTCAACCTCCTCATGAAATCCTCCTCCCACCAGCCATCCTGCCCACAGTCAAATCTTTCCTCTTACTGCACTACTAATCATAACTACTTACTGCCTTTTGGTTTCACGGGCCATGGTCTATATACTACTATTCCCATATGAAAGGTGGCAAGATGACAGGCAGAAAGGTTAGACAGGTTGTCTTAGGTTACACAGCTAGTACATGACAGAACTGAGGATTCAAAGCCCGTCCTTCCTGCCTCCAAAAACCACCACAGTATACTTTACAAGCTGATAGAATTCCCTTCAGGTCCTAAAGAAGGTTAGTACTAATAGTAATAGCAGAATCTAAGGATGGGAATTACCTCTAATGCTTAGACAACCCTGCATGTAACAAGTGAGGGAATTGAAACTCCGAGTCCGAGCAGTTATTTGTCCGAGCTCCTAAGCAGCGTCTGGTGATGGCTGCCCTCGGGCCCTCACTTACAAGGCCGTGCTCTCTGCCCACAGTGCTACGTCAACTTGCTCTTCTGGTACCAGTTCTTCTGCGGTTTCTCCGGCTCCACCATGATTGACTACTGGCAGCTGATCTTCTTCAACCTCTTCTTCACTTCCTTGCCTCCTCTTGTCTTTGGAGTCCTCGATAAAGACATCTCTATGGAAACACTCCTGGCGTTGCCGGAACTGTACAAGAGCGGCCAGAACTCCGAGGTAAGGGGGTCGGGTAGGCAGCAGGACTGGGAGGTGGCCTTCAGCTCCTCCCTGGAGGTGTCAGAGAAGGAGTGCTGGGCCAGAAATCCTGTGTTCTGGTCACCACTCTGCCACTTACCTCCCATGTGACCCAGGAAGTCTGCTCCCTGTTCCTGGCCTGTTTCTGATCTGCTGTTGAAGGTGATGGACCAAACTAGTGGATATTTTTCTTTTTAGTTATTTCTTAATTATATCACACATTAATATGGGCCTGTGCTAGTTAAAGGGGAAGAAGGCTTACAGAAAGACTGCATCACTTTTACCTGATATTTATAGGCCTTTAACAGAATGCCCAAGGCTTGGTTTAGGAATCCCTGGGGCTAAAAGCCATCAAAAGAGTTTCTTAGAAGGCACAGAGGCCAGAATGATGCCCTAAATGATTTGGGAAGGTCCCACAGCAGGCAGTCTGACCAGCACAGACAGGCTGGGAACCTGATGGCCTCAAAGGAGGAACTCTGGGAAAAGGGATGTCGCTATGCACGAGGGGAGCTCTACACCTCAGATAAGGAGGGTAAAGCCAGATGTGGTGCTTGAGAGCTGGTGAAACCTTGTGGACAACCAGTGAAGAACCAAGCCCCATACTCACCCAAAGACAGATAGAGAGCCACTTAGCAACCCCAGCACTTCAGGCGAGGGAGGTGTGGAGATGACACACGATATCCTGGGCCCTTCTCATTGTCCTCTTCCCATAGGTGATCTGGCTGCAGAATGTATTCCTTGAGTATCTAACATTAAAAGAAGTTAATGTAGCAGAAACACACACTGTAAATGGTTTCACTGTTCCCAGAGAAGGAAACACAAAATGAGAAAGCTCATCTCCAAAGCCACTGAACTGTCTCTTGGGAACTTGTAATCCTGGGCTGTGATTGAGAGCTCCGTTTCAGATGCTATTCAGAATCTCTAAAGTTACCAAGTTTGTATTAGCACTAGTACTAATGATCATTAACAGCCGAGCCCCTTCTAGGTACCAAAGCACAGTTATATTTAGACCTCTTGAAACTCAAGGAAATCTAGCCGGTGCTGTTTTTACCTACTTTTTATGGAAGAAGAAACAATTCCCAAAGCAGTTTAGTGACTTTCACTAAGGTCACACAGGCCTGGAACTTGACTTGAGGTCCTTTCACTCCCAGGTCTGTGCTCTCGATCATTCCATTGTACCGCCTCTAGGGTAAGAAACATTGTAAGTGCCATGTTGTCTGGCCCAGCCACACACAAGAAAGGTGCTTACAAGGAATAGAGGCTTGCTCGGATGGTGGTAACTGTCGATGTGTTCTTTCCTGGCAGTGCTATAACCTGCTGACTTTCTGGATCTCCATGGCGGATGCGTTCTACCAGAGCCTCGTCTGTTTTTTTATCCCCTACCTGGTAAGTTGTATGGTCCCATTCTAACCATCCAAACAGCAGAGGAGAACTGGCCCTGTTAATATGAAATTCCAGACAAATAGTATCTTTCTGGACACTTCAGAGCAGAGGCTCCAAATAGGAGGCCTGCAGACTCCACTTTACCCAGCATATTCAGAAAGTCAGAATACTTTACCAAAACATCTTAATTTCTGCCAGCTTCCAAGAAACTAAAAGCGGTTATTACACTGGGTCCTGGCAAAAATCCAGAGTTGACTCACCACCCTGCTTAGATAGGGCACCTGTTCTTTCCTCTGTCATAGTCCCCACCATGCCCTTTCGTGTCATGCCTAGCCATCTTCACTCACTCATCTACTGCTTCTTACTTGAACATTGAAGGTATTTGAGTTTATACCTCTTGATTTGTATTTACATTTGTGCTTCCAAGTTCTGACAATAAGGGTTACTGCCTTATCTGAAATAAAACAAGAATACTGGGAGCACAGGATACCAGCCCCATCTCAATTCGGTTCCCCAGTTTAAAGAGTGAGAATGTATAGGATATCTGTATTCTTCCCAGACCAGGAGCTCAAATGTGGAGTCATTTGTGCCAGGAAAACTGTGGTGTCTGCCTAGTCTCTGGATCACATTCTTTTGCAAACAGCAACATGATGGGTGATGAGGCTGCAAACATTTTGTGCTTTCTCAGAATTTTCTGGTTTACAATACCCTTCCTAGTCAGGCCTCTTTTGCCCTTACTATGTGATCAACAGGCTTAGCATTTAGGACTATCCCATCTAGGATGATTTGGACTTTTCACCCTCCGTTCCGGCCTCTGCCTGATCTGCCTTTCCTCTCTCTTTTCAAGAAAACAGTTCCTCTTACTACAGGCTCAGCTGATTTCTCATCTCTACTCCCAAAGTGCCTTGTACTTGCTTCCACTTTAGCATTTACACCCTTAAACTGTACCACTCCTGCCTAGGAGACTCTAAACTCCTTGAAAGTGGACACAGGAGTATCTTTAGCAGTTGGCATTGTGCCTGGTAGGTACTCAATTTCTTGTTTACTCATTCTGCAAAGCTCTGGGATACTCTTCGTGGCTTCCTTTGCAAATGCATTTTGAAGAGTTTAGTCCTATCAACTCACTCCTCCTCCTGTCCCTGCAGTCAGTTCCACATGACGGTAGCTGGACAGCTTCTCCTCATTCCTTCCCCTTCCTTGACACCTGCCTTCACTGATGCTTTACAATCACTTGTCCAAACCAAGGCCTTCAGTCCATGGGCAGAGCTGACAGTGCCTGTTCGTTCCTACTCTGCAGACCTACAAGGACTCTGATATCGATGTCTTTACCTTTGGGACACCCATCAACACCATCTCCCTTGCCACAATCCTCTTGCACCAGGCAATGGAAATGAAGACCTGGGTAAGTGTCCCCAAGCTCTTTGGGCCTAAAAATTGTGTTCCTGTCCATCAGCTGCATTCAGATTTGAGCTGCTTCTCTCTGTATCATTGATCCACTGAATACACACATGCTGAACTCATATCTATGGTCCACTTTGATAGGGATAAAGAAGTAGAGAAGATAAAATTGCTGGCGCAACTTGCTCACCATCTAGTCAGGATGAAAAAACTAAGACACATAATACAATGAGGCAGTATATTGCCAAAACAGGTACTTTCGATTTCAAAATTCACGGGTGTTTGAGAGACAAGGAAAACATCTGACCATACTTGAGGCAATGTTAGGGAGGTGTGCTGTCCATTTAACTTGGGGGTAAAAGATTAGAAGACTGTCTCCACAATAGTATTTCTCAAGTATGTCCAAATATCACTTTTTAGTAATCCAAAATGATAACGCTAACTTTCTTATTAAATTTGACTAGTCAATGATAATTATAAAAAACATAGAGCTTAAAATCACATGCCAGGTACACATCTGTATGATTTTAATGTACTTTCTTACTTAACTTCCCAAAGCCCTTTAGATAGAATTTTTGTTTTGTTGAGATATGATTGACACAGAGCACTGTATAAGTTTAAGTTGTACAACATAATGACTTGACATACACAGTTGATCCTTGAACAATTTAAGGTTTAGGAGCACCGATCCTCCACACGGGAAAATCCACGTGTAACTTTACAGTTGTCCCACCATATCTGAAGTTCCATATCCGCAGATTCAAGCAACAGTGTATCATGCAGTAGTGTAATATGTATTTAGTGGGGAAAAAAATCTGTGTATAAGTGAACTTATGCTGTTCAAACCTGTGTTGTTCAAAAGTCAACTGTATTGCAAAGTGATGGATGTTTACTAAATTTATTGTGGACATCATTTTGCAACATATGCATGTGTTAGGTATTTTTTCTAATTCCCATTTTATAGATACAGAAATGAGTATAAAGAGGTTAAACTTTCCCTAAGCAGTGCAAGACAGAAGCAAGCCTAAACCCTAGCTGGCTGACTCTTGACCTTTTAACCTCTGTGCCAATAGTGTGACGAGGTAAGATTGATGGGTGCAGGGAGACCACTTTATGGAAAGAACCATTTCAGCTTGGCAAAGACCAAATCTTTCTGAGAGCATTTGTATTAAATGTTTAGAAACTCCCTCCGTTCCCCCTACTGTCACAAGCTAGACCAAGCAGTGGCTGGTAACAGCCACCCCAGGGGGCTTCCAAGTCACAGAGTTCCCAGCTTGAAAACCCCTTAGTTCCAATTCATGCCATGACAGATAGAACAAAGTGATAAAAACAAAAAGGCCTAGTCAAGCTTAAATAAATTTCTTTCAGAACCACCAGAGAAACCATTTAGTTTTATCAGAAACTGTGAAGAAGGCAGTCATAATTTTTAATACTAAGAACTGAACCATTTAGAACTCTTGAAAATGCAAAAAGCTTGTCACTGAAACTAAAAATGCAATTTGTGGAATTCACTTGCCACATAAATATATATTCCAAATATCATTCCTCTTGATTACATTTTCATGACTCCAACAGCCACATAATAGAAGTCATAAAAGAACAAGGAAAGAATGATTAGAGAGGTACTGAAGAGGTCATCATTGAGAATGACAAAATAAATCTGGATATAGTGCCTGGTAGTAAAACTGTACAATAATAGAAACAGTCTTAAAATCTGCCAGAAACTATGGACAAATTACCTGAAAATTAGCAGCAATAAAACAATAGAAACCAAAAAATAGTGGAGCAATTCTCTTCAAAGACTTAAGGCCAAATAGCAAACAGTTACACACTATTTGTGCACTATCACTACACTTAAGTGATAGTTCACTTAGGACTGATAAATAAAAAGATTCCCAAGGGAAGTACACCCACTCAACCCGTGGAGAAACACTGATTTTAATTCTCTAAGAAAGCCACGAAAATCTCCTAGGTCATTACTATATTCATTCAGTCAAGAGAAAATTATTTACTTTTATCAAACAGAAGAATCAAAGGCAAATAATACAGCTATATGTTTGCTTTCTCCCCCTTCTTACCTGTATATATCATGTTTCTGTCCCTTCTTAGTAGCCTGTAGTTTAAAAAAATGAATGACATTTTTAGATAAACTCTGTAAGGTCTACCACCTATAGACCCTCACTAAAGGAAGAAAAATATGCAAGAACATGAAAGAAAATAAAAGCTAAAACTGCAAGAAACAACATAATGGTAAGGAAAGGCTATTCAGTAGGTTTTTTATGCTGAAGTCTTCATTGTATGAATAGGACAAGAAATACACAACCATAAGTGGTTCCATAAAAGTCTACTTTATTTAGCACCTCCTAAATCTTAAAGTATCTTAATACTTACAATTATTAAAAACTTAAGATTAAACATAAAGGAGAGGAATATAGGAAACTATCAATTCCCCAAGCTGTAGGAAAGAGGAAAAGGTAAGAACAAAGAAAATGATGGCCAGAAATATCAGATAGGACTTTTTCATCCTGTGAATACGAAGAGAAATGGAAAAAATTACAATTCTAGAATGATGTTTTTATAGAACTCTATCAAAACAGACACAGATCAACCTTTGAATAAATTACCACACTTGACCTAATGTAGTTAACACTAACATATAAAACCTTGCTCTAAACAAATTCTAAATATGAATCTTTCAAACACACCTGACCACATACCAAAAATTTAAAGACCAAATTCTAAATCACAAAGGAACTTGAAAGAATCAGTATCATAAAGAACTTATTGTCTGATAATAATGCATTTAGATTAATAAATACAAACAATGAAAGCACAGCCAAACAAGCCTAACATGTGTGGAAATTTTAAAATGCACATCTAAACTGTCATTTAAGAGGTTAAAGTAAATCATGATGGAAATTATACTTACTGCTGCTGAATGACCATAAAAATATATACGCAAACTTGTAGGATGCAGCTAAAGTTTTTACTATTAAAAAGGTTAAAAAGAGCTTAAGTTAAAATTTCAATTTAAGAAACTTTAAAAAAAAAATACCATGTAAACCTAAAGAAACAGAAAAGAAAAAAAGATGAGAGAAAAATCAAAGAAAGGTCAATAAGACCACAACTGAGATCGTCAAACCCTACTGAAAACTCACCTCTTGGGACTTCCTTGGGGGTCCAGTGGTTAAGACTCCATGCTCCTGATGTCAAGGACATGAGTTCAATACCTAGGCACAGAAGTAAGTATTCCCACATTCTGCAGTGTGGCCAAAAATGGGGAAAAAAACTCACCTCTGATGAAACTGATCCAAAAGAAGACAGAAAGAGAAGGCCATGAAAACAGTACTAGAAATGAAAAAGACTGCAATTTTGGATACACAGTTGTCTCAGTAGCTGCAAGGGATGGGTTCCAGGACTCATGCAAATACCAAAACCCACAGATCCTCAAGTCAAGTCCTTTATATAAAATGGTGTTGAGCCCTCTATTTTTCATGGATGCAGCTCTCATGTATACAATGGTCAATGGAATCAATATTTTTAATATTAAACCAAATTAAATCCTTTAAATGTAAAATTTACCCAACTATAGTCAAAATCATTCATCAAAGCTGAATAAACCAATCACCATTCTAGAAACCAAATCAACAATCTTATCCCTAAAGTTACAAAGGCAACGGATTGTAAAGGTGAGTTTGACCAAGTTTATAAGGGACAGAGAATTCCTATGTCATACCAACTTTTTCATGGATTCAAAAAATAGAAACATAAGCAATCCAATTTTCATGGCTAGAATAAATTCTGATACCAGAATGAGCATAGACAGTCCTAGGAAACAAAATTATAGAACAGTTTCCTCAATGAACATAAATGTAAAAATTATAAATAATATATTGGCAAATTAACTCAGTAGTATGGGTTAATACTACTATAGTATATAGTATAGTATATACTATAGTATAGTGTGTAGTATAATAGTACCGTAGTAGTGAGTTAATACCACTTCATTAAAGATAATAAAGCCTAACCTAGGAATTTTCATGTTCTGTTGGTGAACTATAAACTGATAGCACCACTCTGGAGAAGCAATTTGAAAATAGCTAAAAGAATATGTTAAAAGAGTTAGCTAGAAATATTCACATGCTGTGACACAATTCCACTTCTAACTATGCAACCTGGACAATCCTTTTACACACGTATATACATGGACATATATAAGATATTACATCATTATTCTTTAAAGCAAAATTAAAAAATCAGAAACGGCCTAAATGTTCACCAACAGGAAAACAAATAGTAGCATAATCATACACTAGAACAGTTAAAATGAATAGAACAGCATTTAGCAGCAAAACAAATCTCCAAAGCATACTGTCTAGTGAAAAGAACTCAGAAGGATATCTACATGATAAAATTTTAAAAGTATCCATTAACACGGATACATAAACATGTAAAATACACAACACACAAAAATGATGAACATGATTTATTTTCAAGATGAAAGAAAAGGCACTTGCAAGGGATACATGGTGGTTGAATCGTATCTATAAGGCTCCTTTTAATAAAATCTGAGGCAAATGTGTGTAGAGGAAGAAAAACTAATTTTCTCTCTGCCCTTGTAGGTCTCAGCTTAGACACTCCTGTAACAAATGACAGACTAATGGGAGAAAAACAAACAAAAGTTTAATCAGTATTTCCTATACACATGAGAGAGACCAGGAAACTATGGCCCTAGCCACCACCTTAAATACTGTCACGAACTAAAGACGAAAGAAGCTTTGGGGTTAAGGGAGGCCAGATGTGGAAGTTGATCAAGATTTTCTAGAAATTTAGAATGTTTCTTTTTCCTGGTACAGAGAGGGAGACACCCTTACAAATGGAGATTTCCCTTATAAATATAAATGTCTCTTACAAAAAGAAAACGTCTGTTCAGTTTTCAGAGCTTCTCCTCTATCTGCTGTTTCTTAAAAACAGCCAGCTCAAGGTAATCCTGACGCCAGAGACACATTTTGGAGTGACAGATTCTGCTCCCATATATATGGCATAAGGTTAAAACTGGTAAAGCTGGACATCGCGTGCATGAGATTTGTTGTCTGTGTGTTTGAAGTATTTCACAGTAATTACATTCTTTTTTAAACAGTAGCACAAGATATTTCACAGGAGGAACTCTTCTCTCCATGACCTTCTTAACCATTGGATATTTTTTTTAACCTTTCAAAAATGCCCTGTAAATAATCAGACCGCAATGTATATTAAGTGAGTAATGATTCACTTAAGAAGTCATTCGGCCTTCTTTCTCAGAGCACTGCATTTTTTAGAACAGAGAACTTGTTCCTTTCACTCACCATTCAACACCATTATCCACCTAATGCATCTCGAGGCTAGGTATCCTGGTAGTCACTGGTAATTTCTGTTGCTCCAGGGAAAGCAGTCAGCTACTACCATCATTATGAAGAAAGTCTTTCCCTATCTCAAGTGCTTGTTGTCTCTTTCTTCCATGGGTAGAAATCAAACATGAAGTTTTTTTGGCTGCACTGTGCAGGATCATATTTCCACAAACCTGTGCCCCCTGCATTGGGAGCAGAGAGTCTTAACCACTGGATAGCTAGGGAAGTCTCGAAATCTAACATGAATTTTAACAGCTGTGTCAGCTTTCAGTCCTCACCTAAGTGACTGAAAAATGTTAGCTAACTGTTTTCTTCTCTAGGAACAGGGGCTAGGATATTTCAAAACATCTCTTCCACTGAAAACAAATAAATTTGTGTGTATATACATTTTAATATTATATATATATGTATGTATACAAGCATATACAAAGAGTATGTATATATATGTATACACACTCTAAAAGTATGAAAAGGAAGGGAACCCTCTTACATTGTTGGTGGGAATGCAAATTAGTACAGCCACTATGGAAAACAGTGTGGAGATTTCTTAAAAAGCTGGAAATAGAACTGCCATATGACCCAGCAATCCCACTTCTGGGCATACACACCGAGGAAACCAGATCTGAAAGAGACACGTGCACCCCAATGTTCATCGCAGCACTGTTTATAATAGCCAGGACATGGAAGCAACCTAGATGCCCATCAGCAGACGAATGGATGAGGAAACTGTGGTACATATACACCATGGAATATTACTCAGCCATTAAAAAGAATTCATTTGAATCAGTTCTAATGAGATGGATGAAACTGGAGCCCATTATACAGAGCGAAGCCAGAAAGATAAAGACCATTACAGTATACTAACACATATATATGGAATTTAGAAAGATAGTAAAGATAACCCTATATGCAAAACAGAAAAAGAGACTCCGATGTATAGAACAGACTTGTGGACTCTGGAAGAAGGCGAGGGTGGGATGTTTCAAGAGAACAGCATCGAAACACGTATATTATCTAGGGTGAAACAGATCACCAGCCCAGGTTGGGTGCATGAGACAAGTGCTCGGGCCTGGTGCACTGGGAAGACCCAGAGGGATCGGGTAGAGAGGGAGGTGGGAGGGGGGACCGGGATGGGGAATACATGTAAATCCATGGCTAATTCATTTCAATGTATGACAAAAACCACTGCAATGATGTAAAGTAATTAGCCTCCAACTAATAAAAATAAATTAAAAAAAAAAAAAAAGTATGAAAAGGCTGATAGGATAATTAAAGACCAAAACCTCTGGGAAAGTGGGATTGTAGTGAAGCAAGCTATGCCAAAGTCTATGTTTTCTTGAGAGTGTTTGCAACCCTGCCTAAAATGAAAATTTCCGAACATTATGTTCAATGAAGTCTGCCGAAATTAAAACCCAGGCTCCTGTAGTGACAGTCTAATAAGAGATCACATTACATTAGGGCCCCAAAAACTCTACCTGCAGAGTAAGGGTACACCTACCTGCGCTCCTCTCCCCAGCAGGGACTGTAGGGATTGTCCCCACTGTGCTGAACACATCAGGAATAGTCAATATAAAGGACACAGCCTGGGAAATGGACCATATATATGTAACTAAATCACTGTGCTGTACAATCAACTCTACCTCAATTATAATAAACAGTAGACATTAAGATATTTGCACTATATAACAACTGATTGTATTAAGAAATTTAAATAACTCAAATGAGTTAAGTTTTAAACACACACAAATAATGAAGTTCAAATGAAACAAGGACTCATCAATAAGGATCACAAGCACATACATCAGTAACAAATATTTTAGGTATTGAATTATCAGACATAACTCGTAGAAAAGTTTTTGTTTGCTATGTTTAAAGACGAATAAGCTTTAAAATATCTGCAAGAATGTATGGTAAGCCATACAAAGAAACCTAAACGATTTTCTTTGAAGACCAAGTAAAACTTTTAGAAATTAAAAAATCCAGTAACTGTAATTTAAATTTCAATGACTGGCTTAACTGCAGATTAGGCAGAGCTGAGGATAAAATTAGTGAATTGGTCAAATTATCGAGAATATAAAACAATTAGAATATTAGCAAAGCTCAAGCAAGATAATTTTTTTTAAAAACGCCATGCTTATAAGAAAACTATAGAACACTAAAGACAAAAATAAAGATCATAAAGCAGCCAGATTTTGAGATAAAGGTTTCCTTCTAAAGAACAACAGATAAAGTTTTGCTAACATCTCAGTAGCAACAATAGAAGCCAGAAAATAGTGAAAATTGGTCCCTCAGTCGTGTCTGCCTCTTTGTGACCCCATGGACTGTAGCCTGCCACACTCGTCTATCCATGGAATTCTCCAGGTAAGGAAACTGGAGTGGGTAGCCATTCCCTTTTTAGGGGACCTTCCCGATCCAGGGATCAAACCCAAGTCTCTCACATTGCAGGCATATTCTTCATCATCTAAGCCACCAGGGAAGCCTCAAGAATACTGAAGTGGGAACCATTCCCTTCTCCAGGGGATCGTCCCAACCCAGGGATTGAACCTAGGTCTCCTGCATTGCAGGCAAGTTCTTTACTATCTGAGCCACCTGGGAAGCCCAGAAAATAGTGAAATGCTATATTAAATATACTAAAAGAAAATAACTTCCAAAAAAGATTAAAAATATCTTTTAAGAATGAGGATGAAATAATGAATCAGAAAATATATCACCAGCAGACTTCGACTAAAGGAAAATTCTAAAGGATGTATAGCCATCCTCAGTATCCACTGGGGACTGGTTCCAGGACCCAATGCAAATACCAGATTCTATGGATGCTCAAGTCCCATAATCAGGCCTCTGTATCTGTGGATTCAACCAACCATGGATCAGGCAATACTGCAGTATTTTTGAGAAAAATCCACATGTAAGTGGACCCACACAGTTCAAACCCCTGTTGTTCAAAGATCAACTAAAAGTACAAGGAAAGCTATCCCAATGTTCACTGCAGTGCTATTTACAGTAGCCAAGACATGGCTATTGTCTTGATTGAATAGACATGTCCAATGAATGGCTGAATAGAGGAATGGATAAAGATGTGGTACGTATATACAATGGAATGTTACTCAGCCATCAAGAGTAAAATACTGCCATTTGCAACAACATGGATGAACCTGGAGATTATCACACTAAATGAAGTCAGTCAGACAGAGAAAGACAAACATCATGTGATGTCACTTACAGGCAGAATCTTTTTAAAATGATACAAACAAACTTATTTACAAAACAGAAGCACAGACTTAAGAGAACAAATTTGTGGTTACCAGGGGGAAAAGAGGTAGGTGATAGACTAGAAGTTTTGGATTGACATGTACACAGTATTATATTTAAAACAGATAACCAACAAGGACCTACTATACAGCACAGGGAACTCTGCTCAATATTCTGTAGTAACCTAAATGGGAAAAGAATTTGAAAAAGAATAGATACTTGTATATATATAACTGAATCACTCTGCTATACACCTGAAACTAATGCAACATCATTACTCAATTACACTTCAATACAAACTTTTTTAAAAAAGGATAACAAAATACAGTTTGGATGGAAAACCCAAAATGCAAGAGATAATGAAGGCACAGAAAGTGTCAAGCATGTAAGTAAATCTTAAAGACTATTGACCATATTTAACTGTAATAATGACTTGTGCGATTTACAAAGATGATAGAATTTAAATAAATAGTAGCAATAAGATATAAATCAGGAGGAAGGTAAACAGAGTTAATTTATTCTAAAGCCCTTGCATAATTTAGGAGGAGGGAAACATATAAACTTTATACTACAGTAAGTTAAGATTGCTTAGTGTCATTTATTGAGTAATCACTGAAAGAATTAAAATACATAACTTTCAAACTAGTAGAGGTGGAAATGAAATTATATGAAATCAGCAGTAAGTTTACAAGAGGACAAGAATTCGAAGAAGCATTAAAGAGGCAGGAGAAAATGAGATCAGAAGACTGTGCTGCTTCAGAAATGAATAACTGACAGCCACATGTGGAAAAGGCTCATTCATCACACAAGCATAACATTAAGGAAAAAAGACAAAAGTCACACAAAATATAACTAACTTTTTTAAGACTAAAGAGTAGCATGAAAATTATCACAAAATTCAAGGTGATTTAGGGGTGTCTGGGGTATCTGTGTTCAAATTCTGGGCAGTAGCAACATAGGTATTTACTTTATAATAAGCCATTAAATGGCACACTTTTAAAAATGGTTTATATGGACGTTGCATTTCCAAAAAAGAAAAGTTTAAAACAAAGTTAAAGTAGCGTGAGCGCATTCCCCCCTGATCTAAACTATCCCCTCAGCAGTGTTTTCTTCTTTCCTTCCAGACTTTCATCCACGGGCTTGTTCTGGCAGGCAGCTTCCTGATGTACTTTGTGGTGTCCCTGCTGTACAATGCCATCTGCGTCACCTGCAACAGCCCCACCAATCCCTACTGGGTGATGGAAGGCCAGCTCTCAGACCCCACTTTCTACCTGGTCTGCTTCCTCACACCGGCCGTGGCGCTTCTCCCAAGGTTTGAGCAGGGGTGCTGTTTCCTTCCTAGAGCTCTCCTCCATTAGCCATTCTCATAGCCTACGAGTCAGGAGTTTGACCCCAGCTGGGATGCTTGAGGCTCTCGTTCCAGAGGGAGGGAGCTAGGGCAGAAAGAACTTGGAGGCAAACAGCATGGTGTCTGGTCCCAGGGCAGCCACAGAGCAGCAAAGTCACCAAATCTGGCATGACCTCTGTTATGACACCTGTAAAATGAGAGTACTCATTACTCCCCTCCTGCCATACAAATCTTATTGTGTATAAAGAATCATTTTGAAAAGCTCTTATAGTCCTTTATGCATCAGCCCAGGAGTCTCACTTTCAAATGCCTTCAGGGACAGGTAAGCAACGGCAGCAATCCAGGTGAAGTACAGGCATTGGGGAAGGAACTTCTAAGCTTCAGCCTATCACTGCCACAAGGAAAAATCGAGATGAGCATTTCAGAGCTTTAGATTTTTCCCACAAATTTTGCAGGAAATATCCAACTTTTAAATACTACTCAAATTTGTTAAAACACACACAGACTCATACACATACACACACCCTATATTAGCCAAATAAATCACTTCTGCAGAGCGCCCATTTGTAACATTTCCAGTCTATAGCCTCTATAATCACCTTTTCAAAAAAAAATAGCAACAACAATGCTTCACATGTCCTTGGAGTTTACTCTTGACACATACTTTTCTATCTAGTTCATCATTTTGATTTTTCAAAATCACCTAAGAAATTAGACAGAGCTGTCGTTGTAGTCCCACTTGCTCATGGGACAGCAGAGGTCCCAAGAGGAACCAGAATGTGTCCACCAGCTCACCACCAATGACAGGGGGATTCTATTCTCCCAACTCAGAGGCCAGTGTTCTATTATCCAGCCCACACTCTATAGTCAAGAGTATTTGGTGAACTTAATGATGCTGTACCCAAAGGCAAGACCTAGCCCCTCTCCATCCTCAGGATCTTGTCACTCTGAATCTTTGAAATTCAGCTACTTTACCATTATAAACCATAGTCAAGAGGCCATCGCAACACTGTGCAGAACTTTTTCTAATCCAAAATAAGGCAGAAAGTCACTAGCACACTTTGGTTCTTTTAATGAGTTTGGCAGCTTGCTTAACCTAGTTTGAGCTCCCTTTCTTCTTCCTAAGACACCTCAGAACCTTGACATCTGATGCAGGGTTTAGAGGCTGAACATATCAAGATGACAAACACTCCTGTAAACTCAACAGATGGGGGGGTTTCTAAGTATACACAGTCTCCCTGCTTGGCCCCTCCTGGTCTCCACAGCCTTATCTCCCTAGTCCCTGCCTCAAACTTTGAGCTTCTTGGACTTCCCTGAAGTCTGCATGCCCTCTCGTCTTCCTGTGTTCATGCTGGCCCTTCTACTCAAAATGTCCTTCCTGTTACCAGACCTCCTCATCCTTTGACATCATTCCAGGTGTGACCAATTCCTGAACCCTTTTGTGACTTCACCTACCACCCTCAAGCTGAAACAGATCATGTGTTCCCGTTACCTGATTGTATCCGTCACTACCTTTATCCCATGTATTATCTGTTTTGTCTGTTTGTCATGAACTCCTAGAAAAAAGTATCCTCCTTGTTATCATTATATAACCCACAGTTAGCATAGTTCTTATCACAAAGGCTGCCCTAGTGATAAATGAGAAAAACAGATGCTAAGGAAACAGAAACATGAATAAAATAGGGTTCTTTCTCTCAAGAAGTCTACCATCCAGTGGACAATTCAAACCTATAATCCAGGTAAGAGTGATTAGCACTAACCAAGGGCCCTGAGACTGAAGACTGGGAGGGAAGTAAGCACAAGCCTCAGAGAACATATTTCCCACCCCACCCCCTCTGGAGACAGATCCTGGGCCTTGAAGGTCCTGCCCTCATTGGAAAAGGGTATCACGTGTCTGTGTTAAATGCTTTCATCCACACTTTTGGGGTTAAATATGGTTGTGATCACCTCTGACCAAGGACTGACCTCTCTGTTCAGGGTCTACTTTGGGGTAGAGGAAGAGTTCATCATCTACAAAGAGTTCCAGCTTCTTTGTCTTATTCTTGGTTAGAAGACACACTTGGAGCCAGAGGCTACCAACTTGATAAGAATCATTGAAAAGCACAAACATTCTTGGAAAAGACAAACACTCACCATTATATCTTGTTAAACAGATGAGGGGCAAGCTAGGGAAAAGTTAGCAAATATTTTCTTGCCAGTTACCATAGCATGCAAGTTAAATCTCTGCTTATTCTGGATCATCATAAACTGGAATTCCTACTTAATTCCGTTTACTAAGAAAGGCAAAGAGATTTCCTTTGACAGAGAAAGGATTATTTTAATAGCTCCAAGGACTGTTAACTTATAACCTTGGAATGATTAATTTTTGTTACAGAAATCTACATGGCAGAACGTTTGTTGTAGAAAACTGTATTTGTTCACTTAAAGATGTAAGCTGTATTTATAATAAGATTGATTTCACTCACCAAGCTTGTGATAATTATCCATTAACCATGACCTCACTAATCTTAGTCTAATTCAACCAGTATAAAGGAACTGTATGATGTTCTTAAACTGAGAGCAAGCTTTTGTTTTATCTGTAAAATAACTAACACACCAACTTTAAAACACAACGCAGTATAATTAGCTACACTAGGTAGGACCCAACAGTCCTTGTACACTTCATTTGGCTTCAGTAACACAACACTCTCTTGATTTTTCTCCTACCTGCTGGTTCAAAGATGACATGGTGTACATCAAGCCTTTGTCCAAGGTTCTTTTGTCTTCTAACTTCTTTCCATAAACATAGCAATCATTATTGTGAAGTTAAATGTCATTTTTCACAGATGAATCTCTAATATCAACTCCCAGCCCAGGTCTTTCTCCAGAATCCCAAATACATCCTTCTAGCTACCTGTGCCCCTCCAGCACTGGACATGCCACATCTGAGGAAAGTGGCAGACACACATAACTTAATTCATGATCTACCTTCTATCACCACCACCCTCCCAGAAACATGGCTATCTTCCCAAGTTCCTTCCATCCACTGTTACCCACTGAGGATCAAGGCAGGCCCATGAGAATTATCCTTGGCACCACCCACCACCACATGGCCCTCTCTTACCCATTGCCAGGACCTGATAGTTTTATCTTGTTAAATAGAATCCATCTGCTATTTCCATTTCTACAGCCACCACCATAGATAGGTTATAATTCTTTCATTCCAAATTATTTCAGTAGTCTATTGGGTTTACTCTAATCCATTATCATCGTGTCAAAGTGTGATCATGCCATGTTTGTAACTTTCCAAGGGCTCGCCAAGGCCTTCACAATAACTTACAAAACCCAAGACATTCCCCGCGGTCCTTGCCTGCTCTGGCCCTGCCAGCGCCTGTGTCCTCTTACCCCACTCCTGCCCTCTGCCTCCACACTGCAGCTACCGTGCCCAGGACCTGGCTCTCACCCGCTCTTTCCCTGGCTCCCTCCTGTGCATCCCTCAGTCCTCAGCTTTATTATTTCCTCCTCGAGGAATGTCTCTAACATCAGATCATGTGTGTGACACGCTCACTGTTCCCGTGGCTTCCAACTCTGGTTCCTGTGCTTTCTGACAGCCAGAATCCTGTCAGTCTGGTTCACAGCTTAATCCCTTGGGGCTTGGCCCATTGTAGGAACTTGATGGTTATTTGTTCACTAAATGCACAGAGAAGGAAATTCATAGCTTGGGGGAATCTTTAAACTGTGGAAATTCTAGTTTCCAGGCAAAAGTTGAGTCTTTCCTGAAACACGCAGGGATGGCCACCTGAGTGAGATGAGAAAGAGTGGGGGAGAGTTTGATTCCATAGGATCTATTGTGGTCTTCAGAAACCCCTGCTCACATTGAGGTCATCCAGAATCTTTTAGACATAATAGAAGGATAAGAGCCTCTCTGTGTATAAGGCTCTTAAAAAGTTAAAAAAAAAAAAAAGAAAGAAAGAAAAAATTAAAAAATAAATAAATAAATAAAAATTTTAAAAAAAAGAATTATTTTTGGAAAAGACCTTGGATGTCCTCTGGACCCGTTGGATTACTTTTTATTTTTTAGTTGAATTATAGTTGCATTACAATGTTGTATTGGTGTCTGCTTTACAACAATGTGAATGAGCTGTAAGTGTACCTGGATCCCCTCACCTTGAGCCACTCCCCCATCCCACCCCTCTGGGTCATCACAGAGCACAGAGCTGACCTCCCTGTGCTGTATAGCAGCTTCCCGCTGGCTATATCTAACACATGGTAGTGTATCTATGTCAGTGTTACTCTCTCAACTTCTCCCACACTCTCCTTCCCTCCCTGTGTCCACAAGTCGGTTCTCTATGTCTGTGTCTCTGTTCCTTCCCTGCAAATATGGAATCTAGGAAAATAGTACCAACTGGATTACTTTTTAGATAAACCAACACCCAAAGACTGAGTATAAATTGCTGAGAACCACAAGATTGTATATGCTTAGATCAGTTCAGTAGCTCAGTCATGTCCAACTCTTTGTGACCCCATGGACTGCAGCATGCCAGGCTTCCCTGTCCATCACCAACTCCCAGAGCCTACTCAAACTCATGTCCATTGAGTCAGTGATGCCATCCAACCATCTCATCCTGTCGTCCCCCTTTCCCCGCGCCTTCAATCTTTCCCAGCATCACGGCCTTTTCAAATGAGTCAGTTTTTTGCATCAGGTGGCCAAAGTACTGGAGTTTCAGCTTCAACATCAGTCCTTCTAATGATATAGATCACATAGGTTTAATCACCTTCTTACCCCCTTTTCCCACTTCATCTCGGAATAGGAGACATATAGAGACTTCTATTCCAGAGTCCACTACAGGCAACTTGGCAGGAGAGAGGAACCACGAGTTAACCATCAGGGAGATCTGTCAACTCCTCAGGAGACCTTAGGAAATCCAGCTCATCATTTGGGACCTTGATGGTATCTTCATCTAGCAAATAGTGATAATATACTGATGCTATGAAGTTGGCATAGCCCATGGATTCAAGAAAAGAATATGTATTGGGAAACTACTTAAAAATTATTAAGTTCCACAAAGAGTGGACACTCCAAAGCAAGTAAATTTGCCTAAATTAGAACAGCCCAGAAATAGAATGGACTGCCACATGCATAGTTGATGAGAGCAAAGTATCAGAATCCAGGGTACGGGGTTGACCACAGCTCAACCACTGTGTGGCTCTGGACAAATCTTTCAGTCTCTTAGTGCCTCAGGTTCCATGTCTGTACATAGTGGGAAACAAAAGTACCAACTGTTTGGGATTTGGGGGAGAATAACATTGAGTTATGCATATAGTACATAACAAATGTTAGCTGTTACATTTCGTTGTTGAACTCCCCCAGTACCAGAAGTGCTTGGACATAGATTCGATCCATCAGTTAGCAGAGCAGCAAAGGGGATCTTCTGCTGGGTGGGGACTTGGATTCTAAGGGCCCTTTCAATGCTGAAATTCAAGAAGTCAGAAGTCACAAAATATCTTTATTCTGTTATTTTCCCCCAGGTACTTTTTCCTGACTCTACAAGGGACATATGGGAAGTCTCCAATCCTAAGAGCTCAGAAAATTGACAAACTCCCCATGGACAAGAGAGAGCTGGAAATCCAGAGCTGGAGAAGCCACCAGAGGCCTGCCACCATCCCCGGAGAGGCCCAGCCCATCAACCGTCTCCGGCCGCCTGCCTCAGACCAGAGCACCCCAAAGAACTCGAGCCCCGCCAAGCAGAGGGACAAGGAGGACTGGGTACTGCCTGGAGAGAGATGCAGCAGAGACCACACAAGGGACGACCCATACTCAGGGGACTCCTGGGCTACATTCTCATCTGGGGAGCACCTGCTCTTGGAGCCTAGTAGGATGCTGGCATCCGGAGCCTACTCAAGTGGACAGACTAACTTGAACCGGCCCTTCAGCCGGGGCAGCCACCGCCGATCCCAGAGCTCACTGACCATATGAGGGGCCTACAGACATCTGTACACATTCAGAGGAGGCCACCCAATCAGTGGCTTAATTAACCACGACTCTTCCTCCTCAAAGAGGAAAGAATGTGCCAGTCTTGCTCTCTTCTCCCCACCCTTAGAGGACGTGCTGGCCCCAAGGGGTTTAACAAAAAAGAACGGGAAATCAGTCAACCTCTAGTTTTCTCCTGCTGCCAGGCAGCACATCTTGTAAATGGTTTTTTATAAGGAGGTTATATTTCTATTGCATTGAGTTTTTTCATTCTTTAGCCCAGAGAGATTCTCTCAGCCTCTGGATAATGACAGCCTACAACCCAACACAACTGGGTTGCATCAGATTCCCAGATGCCAAGAAGTGTTTTGACCTAGCTGATATCTCAAGATTTAGAAGTTTCTGGGCTTGTCAAACCATCACCTCATCCCTTAGTGCCAAGAGTTCAAGTTTCAGAAGAGTCTCATAGACACAATGCCTCATCTCAAGAGTATTATAGGAATGGTCATGTCAGGGTTAACATCTCTTCCATTCTCAGAGTTGGGTCTGCTCTAAGCCAAAGAAAAGGACATCTGAAGATTAAAACCAGATTTGAACTCAGAGCCACAGACACTTCCGAAGGTGGTAAGGCCACAGCTAGGGTAAGAGCAGAAAGAAAACAAGCATGTGAAAGTGAACAGGTGCACCAGTAACCCGATGTTTTAGCTAATCGGCCACATGTCCCACAGTCTGGGGAATCTACCAAGAGGACATAGGCAGCATTCTTCTTTAAGATATTCATTTATTTTTAAATAAAAGTATAAATATCCCCAAGTTCTCCAAAGTCTGCCTTACACCATTTCCCTTTAAGGAAAAACCTATATTAGTACCTATTGTTGCTAACCAAAAGAAATCCAAAGAGAATTTTTCCTTTTACCAAAACAAAAGGCGAAGAGAGCATTCAGCATTTGTTTTGCAGCCAGTGATTAGAGGTAGTGGTTAGAGGTGCAGGCTACCTCTAACCGAGCATTCAGTGGCACTGCCAACCTCCTTCCCTGAGAACTGCACAGCACCTCAGAATCAAACCGCCATAGCTTTGAACTCTATCTGAGCATCTGTGCCTTATCTCAATTTATTTTGTACATCTGTTAGCAAGATGTATCCTAAGGTAACTGCTTCTTTGTTTATACCATTTCAGCTTATGACATTCTTCATAGTAATGATCTACTTTCAGACTGCAGGGGAAATCTGTACCCATCCTCATTCTGCTCTCAGAAAAGGCAAACTCCAAGATCAAACCTTTGCACAGCTGTACCCAGAATAGACAACCCAGATGATAGAGAAACTCTGAGCCCAAACAACAGCATCTGAAAGAGTAGAACCAATGTTAAACCCCATTCATCTAGAACATCACAGGCTTCAGCTGAATAGGGGAGAGCCAGAGCAAGTCTCACTTCACAGGAAAAAGAATTACATGGACAACTTATATGGAAAACAGTGTTGGAATAAAGAATGGATGATAGGATTCTAATACATTGTCAAGAAAATCGAGCTGTACAATGGGCAAAGATAGCCTGTCACCAGTCTTTTAAGGTGAGTACCAGCCTTAAGGTGGTACCTAGATACTGAGCAACAAGCATTAATACAAGGGTGGAAACAATTGTAGCAAGTCACAGCCACCCCACGAATTGACATCACTTGAATAACTTCTCAGCAAAAGCACCCAAAAAGAGCTCAACAATCAAGCCGACAGATGGCAGAGTAAGCTGGTCTCCTGCACATCCTGCTGGCAAACCTTAACTGGAAGGGCCATTTGGGGCATCATCCTAGAGTCAATACACTGGATCTCTCTCTCTCTGACTTTGCCACATAATGGTGCCAGCACTGGCCAGCTGGTGGGGCTTCAGGGGAATCCTTCATGAAGACAGTTCAAGGAGGAGCAGGTGAATGTATCAGGCAAAGCAGGAATAATATAAATTGTCCCAAATGAGGGGACTGAGCCAAAGCTTGGATCTTAGGGTCCTTCCTTTTCCTTTATGTTTCCTGTCCACTCCTGAAAGCCAGATGAGACAGGTGGGACATTTCAGAAAAGAACAGAGTAATGGGAAGATCACTGGCCTCAGGAGATGGAGATGTGGACCTTTTCTCTGCCCCATCTTCTCTAGGAGCCAGGAGCATTGATGTAGCATGCCTCCCCTGCCCTACGTCCCAGACTCGGCATAAGGATCAAGTAAAAATTACACGGGGTTGTTCAAACCCTCTGAAAGCTGTAACACCCAGAGATTTTTGTTTGAGAGCTAAGAGGAAGCAAAATTGTGGAGAAAAGTTGAGAAAATATCACCTGTACCTAAATGCCAAAGCACATCTTTCTCATCCTGCTCTCTTTCTTGCATGACCAAGCATCCCAGTTTGCCTGGGCTTTTCCCAGTTTTAGCACTGAAAGCCCCACAGCCTGGGAAATTCCTCAGTCCCGGGCCGACCAGGCCAACTGGTCACCTACTCTTGCCCTTTTCTGTGAAGCAAACCAAGTGTGTCCGTCCAAGTGCCATCTTAGGGGAAAAGGTTATAACAACTATTTCTCTGTAACATAATGCTAATGATTGTAATTAATACATTTTTATACATTCATGACCTTTTACAGATTGACTGGGAACATATTATCCTTTATTAAAAGAAAAGAATAAACATGGTTTCCCATCATTGCCTACAGTCTGAGTACTACTGCCCATCCATCTTTCTTGACATCCACTCATTCATCCATCCATTTATTGATCCAATAAACTTCTGTTAAGCCCCTCCTAGATGCCTGACAATGTGCTTGGGGTTGTGAGAAACCCACCTCTTTCTTAAAGAAGCCCATATCCTTGTTGGACATAGGGTATCGAGAAGATAATTGACCCAACAGACTGTGACACAAACCTAAACAGCTGTAAGAATTAGAAGCAGCATGCACAGTCCCCTCTCTCTCTGAAACTCCAACCTGGATAGTCTCCTCTTCCTGGAAGCCTGACACCAACCACAAACTCATACTGATTAGGTGCCTCTTTTCAGCCACTCATTCAAACACCAAGCGAATTCCCACTGTACACAGCAGTGTGGTGGGTAGCAAGCATACAGGATACAGGGCCAGCTCCTGCCCTCAAGGGATTTAGTCTAGAAGGGGACCCAGGCAATATTCAAGGAATCAATAAATGTGATAATGACACACAGTTAAATGAAACAAGAACGGTGAGGATGGGAGGCAGGGGTTGCCGGGGTGACCAGAGGGCTTTTTCGAGGAGGAGACCCTAACCGTGAAAACAAGGTAGCAGGGAAGGCCCATTCTGAATGGAGAGAATTAAGTATGAAAGCCCTCAAAAAGGTAGAGTTTGATATATAATAAAGGAGGAGGAAGGAGAAGGAGAAGAAAGAGGGAGGGGGAAGGAAGAGGGAGAAGAGAAGGAGGAGGAAGAAATGAAAGGTCGTCCTTGGGACTAGAACCCAAAAAGCAAGAGGAAGTGCCCCATGATGATGTTAGTGGTAACAACTGTATTCACTTATTGTGTGCTAGGGACAGATCTAAGTTCATATTATCATGTAAACCTCACTGCAACCCTTCAACGTAGATACAGCAGTCCCCCCTTACTCGAGGGGATTATATTCTAAGACCTGCAGTAGATGCCTGAAACCACAACAGCAAAATATAACTATATATTTACATATTAATATATATTTATAAAATACATATATAAAATATAAATACACACACACACACTGGTGGCTCAGCTGGTAAAGAATCTGCCTGCAATGCGGGAGACATAGGTTCAATCCTGGGTTGGGAAGATCCCCAGGAGAAGGGAAAGGCTACCCACTCCAATATTGTGGCCTGGAGAATTCCATGGACTGTATAGTCCATGGGGTCACAGAGAGTTGGACACGACTGAGTGACTTTCAGTTTCACTTTATACATACACACATATACAATGTTTTTACCTATATAATCTTACCTATGATAAAATTTATAAATTAGGTGTACTAAAGAGAATATCCAAATTGCTGGCATCACTACTGGTGTGTGCCGGAGCCATTATTAAGTAAAGTAAGGGTGACTTTGGTCACAAGCACTGTGATACTGGGACCACTGATCTGAAAACCAATGCCAGAGCATGCTGAGCAGTAGGGTTGCATATGCCATGTGGACAGGCTGGACAAAGAGATGATTCATGTCCCAGTGGGAAGGTATAAGATTTCATCAAACTACTCACAAAAGCATGCAATTTAAAACTTATAAGTTATTTCTAGAATTTTCTAGTATTTTTGGACCAAGACTGACCACAGGTAAACTGAAACTATGGACAGGATAATCATGGATAACGGGAGACTACTGCACTGTTCTCTCCTATTTCAATCAGCTTCTGCAACATAACAAACCACCCCCAAAATGATTCATATACTCACGATGCTGCAAGTGGGCAATTTGGGCTGGGTGGCTGGGGTCTCCTTCCACACTGCCTCACATCCTCAGTGGCATCAGCCAGCCTTGTTGGACAGCAACAATGTCCTGAAAGAACAGAAACCGCAAAGAACTTGGCTCAGAACTCAGCATAGGAGTTGGAAAGATCACCCAGCAGAACTTTCCATTCTGCACAAAGAGGCCCCAAAAGAAATCAATCACACAGGAGTGAATTCTTCCAGGTAGCCAGCAAACCGATCCCCAAGGCATCTGGGATGGGTTCCCTGAATGAAGGAGATGGGACTGTGATCTGGGGTGGCCCCCCAGGCAGGCAGGCCTCATGAGGGCCTTAGGAGAGGAGAGCGCTCAGCCAGGACTCCAGGCCGCCCACACTGAAGATTCAAACATTTTCAGATAGAAGCTAGATGGGAGCCTTTCTGTTCCAAAGCATGCTGGTGCCACCTAGCATCTAGCACTGGGGGAGGAACTGCTGCACCAGAGGCACCTGAGGAACTGCTGTATCCCTCCTGCAGCCGGAGCAGGAATAACAGGACCTGGGGTAGCCGAGCCAGGAGTCAGAGGACAGACCTACCAC